TCCAATCTCTGCAATACAAAAAAAATATTTAAAAAAGGTTAGTAAAAGAATAGCACCGATGCATACAAATAAGAAAATTTATTTAACAAATTAAGAGTTGACATGAATAGGTTGCAAAAATTAATGTAAAATGTGGAAATATTTAGTTCCTCTTGATGTGGGGGGAAGTTAGGTAGAATTCGTTATGGCCATATTTAAATTGTTACAAGCATGGAAAATAAAGTAGGTCCTGCTTCAAGAAGTTTTCAGATAACAATTCATTTTAAAGCTTCCAATTTGTCATAAATGTTGTGATTTTAACTAAGAGACTTCTTTGATGATGTGATTTATAAGAAGTGTATGAAGTGTACTGTATATTGTGCAATACGTCACTAAATTTGAAGTTACATATTGAAATAAAGTTCAGCATATACACACAATTGCGCATGTGTATATCAGAATTCTGTAGATGAAAACAAACACAGCTTTATCATTGATTTTGAGTGACCTGTTAGTAAATCAAAGTTTGAGTTTTTAAAATTATAGTTCTTTAGACATATGTTAGATTACACTGCAGGGTAAGTTTCAGTAGGGATGCCTGAAGATCAAACCTACAAGATTCTTCTCTGCAACAGTGATCAAGATCAAAACACAAATGGCTGCAAGTTTAGGCCTTTGGCCTCATTTAGATTGAGGTTTCTGTGAAGTTCTCCTACAGCTGCTTGAATAGCAGCAAAGCTTCAACAGTCTGAGCACTAGTGTAAACTGGGTGACAATGTTTTAATCACAATTAGACACCTGCAGCTGGCCTGTGCCAGCTGACTCATTTGGGCTAAGGGGCTGTTTAATTGCAGCATGGAGGTTCCTGCTCAGACTGAAGCCTGAGCTCTGGGGCCCTCCCACCTAGCAAGGTCCTAGGGCCCAGGCTCCAGCCCAAGCATCTACACTGCAACTGCAACAGCCTCTTAGCTCAAGCCCCATCAGCCTGAGTCAGCTGGCACTGCCAGCAGCAAGTTTTTAAATGCAGCATAGACATACCCAGTGTTGTCTTATCTTGGTCAGACAGCACAGGTGTAAAACCATTGGCAGCTTATATATTCTAGCACTTCCACTTACTAGCAATAGTAGAAGATTTCACAATGCCTCTGTGTAGCTATATCTACTCTGATAGCTTTTAACTTCCTTTCTTTTGTGAGCTCGTCTCTCAATATTGTTTAACACCATTTGATATCCAAATTATATTCTGTGGACTGACTTGTAACAGCACATATTTTTAAAATTTGCTTCAATTTTCATTTTGATTACAAACAGATTTCAGATCTACCAGTAATTAAATTTGCACTACTATTACAAGGACAAAATTATTACTTTAGATGTTCTGTTAAAAGGTACTGTAAAAATCCACACCCTAATCTGATGTTCAAAATATATACACCCATATTTCACTATAAACTTAAACATATCAAAATCAATTAATGACTGAGGACTGTAATTGGAATCTGCCCTCTTCCCCAACTCCAGTCACACTAGCAAAGAGAAACATCATGGATGTCCTTATCAATTTGAATTCTGTAAAAGAGATGAAGCATGAACCGCTACCAGGAAGCAGGTCTTGAAAGATGTACCAGACACCTGCTAGCCATAGGTCTAAATATACTAGTCACAGGCCGATGAGAGATGAATTCCTGAACATACTGCACAAGATGCAGTGACAATACCTTGGTGAGAGGACCAGACCAACCCGCAACAGCCATTGCAATTACTATCATTTTTTGTTTTTTAAGTAGATCAGAAGCAGGAAGTCTTCCAAACAATCAGTGGGACTACTGGACGATCTCGGTGCTAAAGGAGCAGTCAAGGAAGACAAGGCCCTTGTGGTGAAGTTAAATGAATTCTTTGCATCCGTTTTCACTGCAAAGGATGTGAGGAAGTATTCTCACACCTGAGCTATTCTTTTTAGGTGACAAATCTGAGGAACTGTCCCAAATTGAGGTCATCAACAAAGTTGGTTTTTGAACAAATTGATAAATTAAACAGTAATAATTTGCCAGGATGAGATGATATTCACCCAAGAGTTGTGCAATTTCATATCTGAGCGCCTTCAGAACTACTAACTGTGGTATGTAACCTATGGCTTAAATCAACCTCTGTGCCAAATGACTAGAGGACAGCCAGTGGAAGGCCAATTTAAAAAAAGTCTCCAGAGGCAATCCAGGCAATTACAGGCCAGTAAGACTGTTATTTTAATATCGGGCAAATTGTTTGAAACTACAGCAAAGAACAGAATTATCAGATACATAGGTGAACGTGATATGTTCGGGAAGAGTCAACACAGTTTTTGTAAAGGAAAATGAGGCCTCACCAATTTTTGAAGATGTCAAAAATCATGTGAACAAGGGTGATCGAGAAGATATAGTGTCAAAGGCTTTCTGAAAGTCCAAGTCCAAGGTCCCTCACCAAAGGCTCTTAACCAAAGTAGACAGTCATGGGATAAGAGGGGAAGCCTTGTCATGGATCAATAACTGGTTAAAAGATAGGAAATAAAGGGTAGGAATAAATGGTAAATTTTCACAGTGGAGATCGGTAAATGGCAGGTTCCCCAAGGATCTGTACTGGGACCAGTGCTATTCAACATATTCATAAATGATCTGGAAAAAGGAATAAGCATTGAGGTGGCAAAGTTTACAGATGAGACAAAATTAGTTATGATAGTTAAGTCCAAAGCAAAGAGTTACAAAGGGATCTCACAAAACTCGGTGACTGGGTAACAAAATGGCAGAAGAAATTCAGTGTTGATAAGTGAAAAGTAATGCACATTGGAAAAGGTAATCCCAACGATACATACAAAATGATGGGGTCTGCATTAGCTTCCTTGAGTCATAATAGATCTTGGAATCATTGTGAATAGTTCTGTGAAAACATCTGCTCAGTGTGTAGCAGCAGTCAAAAAAGATAATGCTAGGAACCATTAGGAAAGGGATAGATAATAAAATTGAAAATATCATAATGTGCCTATATAAATCCATAGTACGCCCACAACTTGAATACTGAGTGCAGTTCTGGTTGCCCCATCTCTAAAAAGATATATTAGAACTGGAAAAAGTACAGAGGAGGGCAACAGAAATGATTAGGGGTATGAAAGAGCTTCCATATGAGAAGAGATTGGGACTGTTCAGCTTTGAAAAAAAATGACTATGGTGGATATGTCAGAGGTCTATAAAATCATGAATGATGTAGAGAGTGTGAATAAAGAAGTGTTATTTACCCCTTCGCATAACACAAGAACCAGGGGTCACTCAATGAAATTAATAGGCAGCAGATTTAAACAAACGTAAGGATGTACTTCTTCACACAATGCTTAGTCAACATGTGGAACTCGTTGCGAGAGGATATCGTGAAGGAAAAAACTAACTGGGCTAAAAAAAGAATAAGAAATGCATGGAAAATTTTTATTAGCAGTAATTTAGTAATCAGCAGTTATTAGCAGCAATGGTCAGGGATGCAATCTCATGCTCTGGGTACCCCAAGCCTCTGAGTGCCAGATGTTGGGACTGGACAGAGGATGGATCACTTGATGACTGCCTTGTTCTGTTCATTCCCGTTGAAGCATCTGTCATCGGCCACAGTTGGAAGGCAGGATACTGGGCTAGATGGGCCATTGATCTGACCTACTATGGCCGTTTTTATGTTCTTATGCAAACGTATGTTGTGCTTTACACTCACTTTAAAGGCTTTTTACATTGCCAAAGCAGTGTAAAGAGCCTTAATGTAAAGAAAATCTGGCCCTCTGACTTCTGGTCTTAATAGATTCTGGTTTTGTTACCAAGATTGCTTCATGACATGCAGTTTGTTGGCTGATCAGATGTGTGCTACTTGTATAATTTTACTTGGGATGTTTGCAGCTCACTTCAGAAGTCGGAACCCCGTGCAATTTTTACTTCATTGCTTATAAACCTACCAGTTTTATTAAAGGATGTACCAGCAATTAGATACACTGCCTCAAAATTCAGTCCTCCAAATTAACTGGGAATGGCTCCCACGTTTCATCACATGCAGGGTGGGGGAGTATGGCTGAGGCAACTTTTCCTTTTCGAACGAGAGGGGAACTAAGGCAGGGCTGGCTCGTCGAAAGGAGACGTTTGAAAACACACTGTAAATAGTGACACACAGAGCTCCCTGGACCCCTCGCTCCCAGGGCTGCTCGGACTTCAGTCCGTGTTTGGCGCATGAAGCTCGCCCAAGGGATCCCGGGTTTTGGAGAGGCCTCCCGGCGCACGTGTCCAGCGGGAGGGGAGGGTGACCAGACGAAGACAAACGGAAACGACCCTGGAGCCGGTAAGGCCCTTCCCCCGCCCCGCAGGGGTGAAGGGGACCCCCCCCCCATCATCTCTTCAACTGCGCGCAGGAAGCGGCACGGGAGCGCGGTACAGACCCCGGCCCCAGGAACAAAGGAGCAGCGGCCAAGCGCGCTCGGTCTCGCCCCCGAACTCGACGCCACCGCCCGGGCAAGCGGCGTCCAGATCGTGCCGCTCAACAGCCGCCCCCCCCCCCCCGGAGCGCCCTGCCAGAGTCCCCCCCCCCCCCCGACGCCAGCACCCCCCAGCAACCAACCGCCCCTCAGGAGCCCCCGCGCGGAGCCCCGCAGCCGCCGGGCCGGGCGGACGCTTACTCTGGGTGTCGGTGAGGGAGATCATGGTGGCGGCGAGGCCGGCGGCGGCAGCAGGGAACGGAGCGGGGGGAGGTGGCTGGAAGCAGCGGCAGAAGCGGCCGCCACGTCTTCCGGAAACACGCAGCCCCCCGCACCGCTCTTACCCGGCACCGCCCATTGGCGGAAGGCGGGCCAATCCACGCCCGCTTTATTCGCTTCCCGCCCACCACCCGTCGCAGTACGGCGGCTCAGCCGGACCAATCCTAGCGGAGCGCGCTCTGTGATTGGTCGGGAGGGGCCGGAGCCGGCTGCGGAAGTTGCGGCGGGCTGAGAAAAGGAAGGGAAAGAGCGCGCGCGGGAAACGGAGGCGCCGCTGGTGAGAGCGAGAGGCGAGTGCGGCGGCGGCGGCAGGAGCGGGGTGGGGGCTTAGGACGGGCGGGCTGAGCCTGGCGCGTGGGAAGAGGTGAGTTCACGTCGGGCTGGGATGGGATGGGAGGGGAGGGGCATCACCATCACCCTTCCCCCCCTTCCTGTCCCTTCCCACGTGCACCCCGCCGGGAGGGAGCAGGGTAAAGGGAGGGGTAGAGATGGAGGGGTATCCCGAGGGGAGGGGACAGGGGGAGCCCACGTGGAGAGGGGTCGCGGTGTAGGGGGAGAGAAGGGGCAGGGCGAGGTATCCAGTGTGGGGCAAGAGCTCTTCAGTGACTGGCTAAAACAGAAGCTGAGGAAATTCCCTCTCCGCGCCCCCTCCCCAAGCGCAGAGGTGTAGGGCTAGGAGGAATCATTGTGCTCCTCTAGTCTGACCTGAGTAACACAGGCCCTGACTTTCAGCTTTCCCCAGGGGTTTTCCAACCCTGCTCCGCCCAGAGGCCCTGCCCCCACTTCCCCGAGGCTCCACCCCACCCTGCTTCCTGCCTCCACCCCACCCCCTGAGGCCCCCCCGCTCCCTCCCCGTCAGTGCCTCCTGACCATTGGCAGACAGCTGATCGTGGGAGGTGCTGGCGGGGCGAGGGGGGGGAGAGTGGAGAAGAGGAGCTGATCCGTGGGGCCTGCGAAACAGCTAATTGGTGGGTGGGTGCTACTATTTTTTTTCACTGTGGGTGCTCCAGCCTCTGAGCACCCACTGAGTCGGTGCCTCAACTGTGTAACACAGGACTATAGGACTTCCCTGGATTAATACCTGTTTTCTGTGGTGTTCTTTAAAGTGGTGTGAATGTCCCATATGCAAAAACACCCCCACCACTTCATTGCTAAATAACAATTCACTACCTCCAGCTTCAGTAAATTCTCTGCTGGGTTGGATAGGCATTGTCCACCTCGTCCTCACCTTCCCCTTTTTGTGGCTTGGCATATGCTCTGTCTGCTGTTGGCTTTAGCCATCCCTCTCCTAAGGAAATTCACCAATGAATCACTACATGATCATTCTGGTACAGTTTGCCAGATGCACTTTTTTCCATATAAACATCCTGCACTCAGCTGAATCATCTTCTGCCTGTACTTAGCCTATTTGAGATGTTCAGCTGCCTCTCTCTATGGGATGGAGCATGTACTTGAGCACTTTCCTTCTCTTTTAAAAAAAAAATCTTTATGCTTGGACATGGTAATTAAATCTCTTGACATGATGATATTCCTGCACTTGCCATATTCCTCTTATTTGCTGTTGACTGATACTTATATTGGGTTACTTGTAAGTACAGTAGAACCTCAGAGTTATGAATACCTCAGGAATGGAGAAAGAAAAGGAGTACTTGTGGCACCTTAGAGACTAACCAATTTATTTGAGCGTAAGCTCAATAAATTGGTTAGGCTTCTACACTTTCCACAGTATGCATCCGATGAAGTGATCTGTAGCTCACGAAAGTTTATGCTCAAATAAATTGGTTAGCCTCTAAGGTGCCACAAGTACTCCTTTTCTTTTTGCGAATACAGACTAACACGGCTGTTACTCTGAAACCTGTCAGGAATGGAGGTTGTTCGTAACTCTGAAATGTTCACAGCTCTAAGCAAAATGTCATAGCTGTTCTTTTAAAAGTTTACAACTGAACAGTGACTTAACACAGCTTTGAAACTTTATTAGAAAAAAAATGCTACTTTCCTTTTATTTTTTTTAGTAGTTTACTTTTAACACTGTACTGTATTGGCTTCTCTTTTTGTCTCTGCTGCTGCCTGATTATGTACTTCCAGTTCCAAATGAGGTGTATGGTTGACTGGTCAGTTCATAACTCTGGTGTTTGTAACTCTGATGTTCTTCTGTATGCTTTTTAACTTTGGCAAGCTTGAGATTTTTTTGTTGTGTGTTTTAATGAGATCCTGAACATCTCATCTCCCTTTTTTGTTGTTGAATTATCTAACACAGTTTGATAAGCCAGAGCTTGCTTGTGAAGCTAACGTTGCTTTAGTTTATCTAATTTTAAGCTTTTTGCAGTGTTTTACTAACATCATGGTTCTTTTTAAAGTTTGACTCTTCTGAGGTTTTATTTTGGAAACTGGTTGACAAGTGAGATGCAGAGCTTGTCACCTGTAGGCTGCTAGCTTGAATCCATGCATGGTTGGTAAGTGAAACAGGCCACCGACCAATCTTCAGAAAGTGACTGATGTGAAATGAGTCAGTAGCCTTTGTTCAGTTCCTTAGTGTCTGCATTAGAGAAAAAGCAATTACTAATCGGTACACATTTTGGCAGTGTCAGCAGAGAGAGGCCAAGGACTGAATCATTATAAGCACTGAACTTTCTCTCATAGAGAGGATTCTCAGTTTAACATTGGCAGAGCATTTGTAGGGATGCTTGCATTGCCACTGCTCATTCTATTCCTGTACTTTGGATAAATTGGGTACTACAGTCTACATTGCTGCCAATCTGGCTAAATTCACTTGCATAAAAAATTAAGGGAGGTTATCCCATTGATGATGTCAATTTCAGATTCAGGATCAGATATAGTGGATTCTGAACAGTGCCACTGTCCTATGTAGTAGATAGCTGAATCTTGCCAAATACTTTCTGAAATGAGTAATCTATGCAATAATCTGATTCTGTCCAAGGCAGAGCTCCTTTCAGTTATTCTGACTCCATCTTCTGACAAAACAAAGTATTTTAGCTGAATCTATTATTCGTTCCATGCATTGGTCATGTTTTTATCTTATGATCAGTTTTTAGGAAGCGACAATAGAAGTTGGCTGGGGGATTTTTCCTTTTTCTCTCCCCAAATAAGTGTTCCTGCTGAGGTAACAGGGGATGTCTTATTTTTATTTTTTTTAATTTTGTATTACTTTCTTACTGTAATACAGTGAAGATCATACTGTAATAGAAAGAATATCATTTGCAAATATTTATTAACTTAATATATTGAAGAGTTTTTTTGCTGCTGTTCTAACTCTTATGGGATTTTGTTTGTTATTCTATAAGTCCCATTATGGTGGTTCAGTGCTGTTTAGCAGGTCACTGTAATTAATTCTGATATTCTTATAGTTGCATTTATGAAAAGTCATCTCTCTGTTTTGTTGCACTAAAGCATGTGGACTGTTTTTATAGCATGCTCCAATTCCTATTAATGGGGATAAAAGACTTCCACTGACTTCTGTAGGACTTGTTTCAGGACCCAGATTGGCAGAATACTTACCTTGAAAGTCTGGCAGTGTGCTAGCGATCATTGTCATTGACTTCTCCCTGTGAATTAATTTATTCAGTTAACATCAGTGTGTTTTTGTTGAAGGAAATGTGTGATGCCCTCTAGCGGGGATTGTGAATATTGACAAGATCTGAGGAATTACTACAAAACTGAATTGATATTTAGCAAACAGAGTGGAATTACAGGCAAATAATTTGATGTAATATATTCAGTGTGATTTTACAAGAAAGTACTAAATGATGTCCAGTTAATGAGCTTGACTGTTTGTTCATAATACCATGGAGATTATGGACGGTCTCTTGGTCGTTTCCCTGCCAGAGGAGGATTGCTCTATATGATGTATTTGTATAATGCTTTGTCCTGTGTAGCTTGAAGATATATCAGCTGATGGAATTTCCCCCATTTCTTTACTACTGTCTAATGGATTTATAGAGATTTTTTAATAAAATATTTTAATTTTTTTCTAGAGAGAAGTGCTTGCTTAAGCAACATTTATTAATAAAGGACGGGTCCTTTCAACTTTGAAGATGACAACTGTTTCAGGTAAACCAAAATTAGGATGGTAACTATTCATTCCACCACTGTTTAACTAGTTTCATCAGAGTTGTTAGAAAACTCTGTTTTCATTGCTTGTTACTTCAACTGTATGTGTTTTCTTCAGGTTGAAAATTATTGTAATTGCTATAATTTTTTAAATCACGTTTTCCTTCATATTTCATTTTGGACATTTTTTCATTTTTGTAGCTATACACACAAGTTTGTAAAAACTTTCCTGGTTTCTAACAATTTCAAAGTGGTTTTAATTTTTTTTTTTTTAAAGGCATCTTTCACAGGCCACTAGTCTGTAACATGGACTCGTTCCTTTGGGTATTTTGAAAGGAAAACTTCCATGTTTTGTTCTGTCTCCAGAAAATCTGCAACAAGGATTTTTGGCACACAGACTTGCTGTAGCTGCAGTGCATGAGAACTATTGTGGTTGCTGTTTTTGGATCAAAGCATAACGTTTTTGGAAAAATATGTTTGTCTAGTTTTATCTGATGGGACTGTAAACTGTCTCAGAAACATTGCTACATTCATCTAAATAATGCATGATCTAATTTACTCCATTAAATGGCAAATGCAATGAAGCCACATACTGAAACACTTGACTTCAATTCACTCTAGTGTGCTTAGACACAGAGAAGCAAATTTATATATTAGGCTGTACTCCTGAAAAGCTATAACTTCTGTGCTGTGCTCGCAAACCTACATAGAATTCATGCTCTGCAGATCTTCTGCTTCTAGACCTAAGGAGGGACATATCAGGACACAGGGTAGGGTTGGGAGCGCGGTTTATACCTTTTAGCATGTCCCCTATCTTCCCCTGCTTCCATCCTCAGTTCACCCTCCTCTGTTGGAATTAATGTTGTTCCTGATATGAAGACTTTTCACTGTGCAGCTGGACAGAGCTTGTGCACCCAATTTAGAGCCAGCTGGAATATTTGTGGTACCATTCATCCCTGTGTACTAAAAGTGGTCAAGGCCAAATTTGACTATAGGATCACAAGATGAAAAAGATCTTATTATATCACACTGGTCCCGTCAGTCCTTGGAATATATGAATCAGAGTCCATTCCTGTGCCAGGGTGAATATAATCTCTCAGAAGTTACACTATGACATGATTTTTCTGCAACAAACAAGGTAATCATCCATCATGACAGTGTGGCAGACTTCTCCTAAGCTGCAGAAAAGAAGAGTACAGTTGTGGTTTATTAATATATTTATATGGCATTTTACATCTTCAGAGTGCCTTATGAATATTAAATATTTTAAGCTCAGCAACAGGCCTGTCAGGTAGCTAAGAGAGTACTCTGTCCATTTTTCCAGACACTCTTGATTGTAGATTGGATTGCTGTCAACCACTGGATGCAAAATATCTAATGTGATTTGAAGTTGTAATTAGCAAAATATACAAGTTAGAATGTTATATTTTTCTACCTCTCTCACTTCAGTGCTAAAGGAGGAGCTGGTTTCCACTGATAGTGAGCTGCAGGCAGTAGAGATCCAGATTCAGGAACTTCTGGAAAGACAACAGGAGCTTATTCATAAGAAGACGGTGTTAAAGAATAAAATAAAACAATTTTCAGAAGATTCAGAGGCTGGCGAAAGTGAAGAAACCGAAACCTCAGCTGAGGCATGGAACAAACAAGGTTTACAAAATCAAATTCAATTATTATCGTCTTTACCATTTAATGTGAAGAAAGTACCAAGACTTATCAATGTCGATGAGATAATGAAAGTTAGAATTTGGTATTTTGGCCCATCTGTGTTTCACGGAGTTGCTTTTTGATTTCCATGTGGATAATTTTATTCCTTTTGCCAAGAAGTTTTTGTTGTTGTCTTGGTTGGTTGGTTTGCCTTACATTTTAATTAAATAGAGTGAAGCTTATATTTGCTTGCTCAGATATTCCTGAATACTGAAGTGGGCTCTGCTGGGCAGATTCTTCTAATAACTGATTATCATCAGTTTTCTCTTTTGCTTATTATGAATCATAATTTGGGAACTTGAAGTTACTAAATAGAATCAAAAGTTAGAAATTTTTTTGTGGGGCGGGGGTATCTGTTAAGTATACTGGGACAAATTCTGCCCCTAGGTTTACCACATAATCCACTGTAATGTTTGAGTTTGTATGGTATAATCGGGGCAATTTTGGTCAGGTAAATAGACTCTGGCTCTGTTGGCCGTAAAAGAAAAAAAATATTCCTCATTGTATATTTTCCCTGGATTTGCTTGTTTCTCTGCCTTCTACTTTGAGGAACACTGGTTTAAGAGCACCCTGAAAAATAACTAAAGGATCAGGTACAGTTGTAGGGTCTAATCCTGTAAACATTGAGTACCAGGCATAATGCTTTTTTCCATTTATGTTCATTGGACTAATATTATGAATTAAGGATTAGCATTTTAGAGTACTTTGTGGTGTACCTGCTTTCTTTGAGCATTAATACACATTACAGGGTGACTAAATCCCTACGCTTGGTGACATATTGTGTTTATATTTTCAAAGGATCTGCAACATGTTTTCATGCAAGTCATAGACTTATGCACGCTATTCTTCAGTTTATATGTGCAGATCTTATGGGTACTGTTTTTCGTCTTGTGAAAATTTGGCCTGATGTGACACCACATTACTTTCAGTAAAAATTGCTTCTATATTTTAATTGGCTCTCCTTTTTATGTTTTAGATGTTCTAGCTTATAAAACATATTTTTACTGCTTGCTCCCTTTTACAGACTTCCCGTGGTATGAGAAGATCAAAACTACATTTCGTAATAGCTTTAAACTGCAGAAGTTTAGGTCTCTGCAGCTTGAAACAATAAATGCTACAATGGCAGGAAAGGATATATTTCTTGTCATGCCTACTGGAGGTGGAAAGAGTTTGTGCTATCAGTTACCTGCAGTATGTTCTGAAGGTATATGAGAATAAATGTCATGTACCAGTAAATGGATTTATCTTTTTTGTATGGTTGGTTGTAGAGATGTAATGCTATATTTACTGTAAATAAAATTGTCTAATGCTAAGTATCCTTTGGAATAAGGAACATAACTCCCAATAATGGGAAGAAAGAGCAACAAAGAGCAACAATTTTGAGACAAAAACTTATCTTAAAAATACATTTCTGCTTGTTTTCTGTATTTCACTTTAAAGGGACGCTGTTGGCTTAAAAACATAGGCACAGATCTTGCAAACACTTGTTCTAAACAAATTTCTTTGTCTAGGTTCCTAACAACATCTTTAGCTAATTAAAAGTGAGATTTTAAAAATCCAATTTTTTCCTCATTAAAATTGATCTTTTACTTCTTGAATTTCAGTTTGTACAATGTAAATCATTGAAGCCAGTTTAGCTTTTGTTTTTAAGTCAGTTTCACTTTCTTAGTGCTAAAGTGCTTTGATTTCAGATGTTGCAGAGGATTGTGTTTTAACAACTGCTTTATTGGGATATTTATTTATTTTTTTAATTGTGAAATCATTTTTATTGGCCTTGGATTTTAAAAAAAGCTAATTTTTACAAAAGGAGCCAACTTGTTGCTTAGCATTGTTTAGTCCCCTTTACGTGGCTACTGTATACCCAACCTGCTTTGGTTAGATATATTAGTTCTTATGTGGTGCTTTTGTTTGTTGCAATTGAGTTATTTGTTTCAATTCAGTCCCCAATGAGAAATCATATGAGATAAGTAAGATGAATGATGATTTGTTTCAGGTTTCACACTTGTGATCTGTCCTTTGATCTCACTTATGGAAGATCAGCTAATGGTTTTAGAACAGCTGAGAATTTCTGCAACTTTATTAAATGCTTCAAGCAGTAAGGTATGTTTAACTATCATGTGACATAGTTACCTTTATTCACATTATTTATGAACATATATGGATATTCTTATTGACTAGCTCAGCTTTGCATGATTGTAATGAAAATTTATAAGCCAAGGGACATCTTCCTGCCAATCCTTACCATGATATTATTAATCTAAATCGAATATATTGCATTCCTGTTTAAAACCAATAAAACAAGCAAAAACCTTGCGTGAAGCAAGTAGAATTTTGTGGGACTGCATTAGTGACACAAAAATATTTTGCAGTTATGCACATTTTTTATGCTAAAGTGATTTTCTTTGGTCATACCTCTCAAATTTCTCGATTTTTAAAAGAAGATGGCCATTACTATGTTACTTAGTAATATGTTTAGTAATGCAGACTCATATACATGGAATCAAATCTCTTGTTTCTGGGTATGAGCTGACTGCCACAAAGGGCAGAAAGGATTCCTCCTCCTCCCCCCCCCTCCCCCCCCCGTGATATGGCATTATCCAAATGACGAGCTGCATTTTGTGTGTGGGTGTGTAGTTTTTGCTAACTACCATTAGATAGTAGCCACTTTCAGAGGCAGGGCACTGGACCTAATGGATTAATACCTTGATGTGGCCTAACACATTTCAAAAATGGATGTCTCCAAAAATCCAGTAATAAAGTTTACAGTCTGGGATATTTGTTTTTCTTAAGGAATTTTTTCTCAAAACACAGCAGCAGAGATGTGGTTGACACCTGATATTTTACAAAGAAAATAAACCCCCTAAATAATACAGTACAAATATTCAGAGTATATTTGCTTCCTTTTTCTAAAATAATGCTAATATTTATTTGTTTTTAAAATATAATCACTTTGTATGTAACTACATAGATATAGATAGATCACCTGCAAGGTCTTTTATGCGAGGTGTAGCAGTGTGTTTTGTGCATTGAATCACCGTTTATTCTAGAACTAAGGAACAGGAGCATGATGATCTGGTTTGTCCATTTCCAACTTCCTTCTTTGTTTTTTAACAGGAACATGTAAAGTGGGTTCACACCGAAATGCTGGATAAGAATTCGCAGCTAAAACTCATTTATGTTACTCCAGAGAAGATTGCAAAAAGCAAAATGTTTATGTCAAAACTGGAGAAAGCTTATCAAGCAGGGAGACTCGCTCATATTGCTGTGGACGAGGTTCATTGTTGTAGTCAATGGGGACATGACTTCAGGCCTGGTATGCCCATCCAGAAATATATATTCAAAGTTATTCAAGCATAAATAAATGATGAGTTAGGCCTGAAATGAGGGGAAATGTTTTCCTTTTGATAGTGAAGTGTATGCACAATGCACAACACAGAAAATACTTGTACGTTGGCTCAAAGATTTTTAACCTCATTCGTTCAGTACCATTCATAAATAATTTATGGCCTTGTCTAAAGGCCCAAGTTCATTTAAGTCAGGGAAATCTAACTGTGGGTTACATTGGCAATTTTCCAGGGGACTGAGAGTTGCACCTCATTTGCATAAAGTGGAATGGATTGTGTCTGTCATCTCTAATACGGATGTGCTGCCTGTGGAAAATACAAGTCTGTGCAACTCTCTTCATGGTGCTTAATACCTCCGTATTGAAGGTGAAAATATCATGGCTACATGGTGGAATTCCATGGAATGCACTTTAGTCACCTCTAGTGTAATTTACAAGAAGAAAAATTGGGCAGCATTTTGATCTCCTGTCTGGTCAGCTGCATAAAACTAGTATTTATCAGGTGCTGTTTCTCTGCGTATGAAAGAACTTGTGATTCAGGGTACAGATGACTACAGTATCATCTACTAAACTTCTTCCTGATTTTTCTTTTAAATTTCTTACTAAAGAAAGTATTGCTTACAAATGACACATAATGGCCTTTATCTCTTTTTGCTAATGACCGCAATTGTTTGTTAGAATTGACACAAATCAAAATATAAATTATGTATGTTTTAGGGTTTTTTAATGTTAGTTTTGTTTTCTAATTCTCTTAACTTAGATACATTTTAATTAACAGTACATTCTGAATTTAGGTAAAAATCTGTTACAAGGCGAGTCACTCCACTAGGTCAATATGGCATTGCCTGCTGATCACTTCATTTGGATTTGTAAATTAGTTCTGTCATTACTTGTTAACTTGCTGCAGATTTGATGTATTAATATATCATGGGTGGTATAAGAAACAAAATCTTTTTTCCATTATTCTTATTTAGACTACAAGTCACTTGGTATCTTAAAACGACAATTTCCCAATGCTCCATTGATTGGGTTGACTGCAACTGCAACAAGTCATGTTCTGAAGGATGCTCAGAAAATTTTGTGTGTTCAGAAATGCATTACCTTTACTGCATCTTTCAACCGGCCCAATCTTTACTATGAGGTATTTATTGATTTGATTTGTAGTAGTGCCTATGAGCCCCTGTTATGGACCACGACACCGTTGTGCTAGGTGCTGGACAAACACAGAACAATCAGTATGTTACGCCTTCTGGAAGACCGAATTTCATTCTATAGTTCTAGGGCAGAATGAGGGCATCAGAGACAGTTATGACTTTCAGTCAGAGTCTGGCCCCTAACTGCCCTGGGTGCCTTTGAGAATATTTTGCTCTCTGAGGTGGTGGTTTATTTGCCGGAAGATAGTGTTCTAATAGTTAGTTTATCTTGAGGAAAAATAATAGCTAATTTTGTCCTGGGTCTTTTGGAAATGTTTAATTCCCACAGGATTCTTCCAAACTAAATCTTTGGCCGATTCATTTCTCTTGAATATTTTTCTGTCTGAGGAAATGAGGACAAAGAAATGAAAGGCAAAGAAGTGGAGGTGGAGGTGGGGCGGGTGAAAACCCAACAAAACAGGAGAGAACTCAGGAGTATGACAAAAATAACCCTAAATACTAAGTTTCAGAGTAGCAGCCGTGTTAGTCTGTATTCGCAAAAAGAAAAGGAGTACTTGTGGCACCTTAGAGACTAACAAATTTGTTAGTCTCTAAGGTGCCACAAGTACTCCTTTACTTTTTCCTAAATAATACTAAGAGATTATTTAAACAATGAGATTGGATTGTTTTTTGTTTGTTTGTTTTCCCCCTGTTATCCAAGTATTTGTGTTCTTGGTCTGTTTTGCTTATGACTTAGATGGTCCTTTTTTTTTTTTTTTAAAGTTTACTTCAAACTAATTTTTGCCAACTTGGTTCTAAACAGTAGCTGGGAACCAGGAGCTGTGTACTGGTACTGAACTCAAGGCTTTTGTGATTAATAATATTGGAGGCTATCCTTTCCTATTTTAATGAGCTAGCTTCTGAGCTGGCCTTGGTGCTTCACCATGACATTTTGTTAAAATTTGTGTCTTCCTGCCTTTAGTAGAATTTGGGCTGCTCCATACATTGTGAGAGTGGGGTTTGGCAGACCAAAATGTTCATAGTTGAATGGCAGGTGGCAAGCACTGGCTGCTACAGCCAGTATCTTAGTTTAGAAAACTGGTGCAATTGTCTGGAAAAGTTGGGAACTTCTGTGGTTCCTTTCACATTCTTCACTGGGAAGTTTCTGAGTGAGCTTTTTGGTTGTAATGGATCTTTAAACTGTAGAATAAATTTAAATTAGTCAAAGGGAAGAATAGATGAGTATTAGGAGGAGTACAATAATAGGAGTATAACAAATTGGCTGAGTGGCCATTTAAGAGTTCTTTGGTAATATATGCAATGTGGTGGGGGTGTGTTATGTTTTTTTTTTTTTTTTTCCCCAGGTTCGTCAAAAACCTTCAAACAGTGAGGACTTCATTGAGGACATTGTTAAGATCATCAATGGAAGATACAAAGGGCTCTCAGGTAAACAATATAAAAACTAATGCTTTTAAACTTTTTATTTAAGGCAAAGTTACAATAAAACTAACCTAATAAATGGTATATCACTTGTTCAGGATCAGGTTAATATTCAAAGAACCTGGCTAAAGGTTGCTGCCTGGGAACCCTCCTCCTCTGAATAGGCTAAAAACGGTGACCAAATTTCTAAATAGCTGTCCTCCTCTTGGTGCATTTCTTGTGTACGTATTTGGTGAGAAAGCTTTCCCAGTACAAAGACAAGGCATATTTCACTAAGCCACAATTCTTGGGGGCGGGTGGGAGAATCCTACACATTTTCAATAATGTGCAATAATAGTCTAGCTGCTAACAGTCAAAAATGAATTAATCTGTCATTCTGTGTAAAACGTAGATCCTTTACTGGAGCATTAAATAAGTTAGGTCGGGATCTCTTGGAAGCTGGCATTTTTTCATAAGATGATTCTCTTTAAGAATTTCCTGTGAAAACAATCTAATTCCTGGACACATCCACCATGTGTGCAAATATGTTCCGATTTTCCCTTCAACCTCTCCAACAGAGCACCTCAAAAAATATGATGGATGTTAATTGGAGTGAAATGCCATCTATACAGTAATTTTTATAAATTGAAGATGTATATCCCCTTCCCCATATAGAAACCCACTCCTACAGATCAATTTCTTTGTCCAAATCCCTCTCCCATCTTTTCATTGGCTGTATTTTTTTTAATCAACATCTTTTGAATCAAAAATGTATATATTTTAGAAATTAAACATTTCATTCCTCGGTCAACTTCTCAAATTTGGTTAAAGGTCTCGATAAAGCCACCTTGTATCCAGATTTCACAATAAAATGTTTGACTTGTAAATTTTGAAAATATGGGATTTTTATATTTAATGTATTAAATACCTCTCTCGGTATAATTTCAAATCAGGACCCAGGAGCAGCTGTCTAAATTGAGTAATTTCAGCTCTTACCCACAACTAATAATCACTCTGATATTTCCTAGGGATAAATTCCTGATTATATTAAAAAAAAAAAAGTAGCTAGGAGAGACGGCCCCGGCAATAGGAATTTAGAAAATTTGTCCAAAGCTGCTAAAATGGTCTGGATAAATGGATGACTTTCCATTTATGGTGAGCTGAATTTCTCTTTAGTCCAACAATTAGTATACAGTCCAATGAAACCTGTACAAGAGATCTTTTTAGGCAACCTCCTATTTTATGGAACTGCTCCAAAGTATCCCTGAAATGTATTGAGAACTCATCACAATCAGAAGACCCTGTTCCATTAAGCATCCAATTTTAAAAGCAAAACAACAGTAACAAGATATGTACTTCCAACATTGTAGTGTCCCTTACTATTTGTCTTGTCTATTTAGATTGTAATCTCTTTGGAATAGGGCCTGTGCCTTCCTGTGTGTGTTCAGTGCCTAACACAGTGGGGCCTTGATCCTGATTAGGTCTTTGGGCACTGCTCCAATACATATAATAATAAAACTTTTGAAGTTCCCTTGAGTGGTAGCTTAAAATACATTGAGCTGTATTATGAAAGCAATTTAAAGGTGCTGCGAAATACCCTGTTAGAACTAAAACGCTTTGGAAAATGGAGAGACAAGGTGGGTGCAGTAATATTTCTTATTGGATCAGCTTCTTATGGTTGGTGAGAGAGGCAAGCTTTTGAGTTTACACAGAGCTCTTCTTCAGGTCTGGGAAAGGTACTAAGAATGTCACAGCTAAATACAAGATTGAATAAATAGTTTAGCATAAGCACATATTCCAAGGGACCATTCAAGGTGAAATGGCCCGTTAACACATCCGTAGTCATAGGACAAAAAAAGGGTTTGGGGATTACATATTATTGTAATAAATCCAGTGTCTTTAGATAGAGCATGAAGGCCAGAGGAGGGGCTTCAGGAAAGATTTCTTTCAGGATGGGGATCCTGAACCCCTTCTTTGCCTTCATATGACACACCAACCTCTCCAAGCTACTCAGAGGCAAGCTCCCCACAGACCAGGATACACAGTCTCAAAGCGGCACCAGACTCTGTCAGGTCTACAGGTTTGCATCTGTTGTTCTATCTTCACTGCTACAATGATCAACACACCTTTCAAGATCCAAGGGCCTTACAACATGTGGTGTAGCTCATGCAGGGCACTAAATGCCCCAATAACAACTATGTGGGCGAAACCAGACAATTGTTACACATTTGAATGAACTCGCACAGTAAAATGATAGGATGTTTTTATCACCTGTGGGTGGATATTTTTCACAAAGTGATCACTCTACATCTGGCCATCAGTCCTCAGCCTCAAAAGAAACCTGCACAAGGCTTTCAAAAGATGAGCTGGGGAGCTTAAATTCATAACTTCGCTAGCCACTAAAAACCATAAAGACAGACACTGGATTTATGGCTTATTACAACAATCTGTAACCCACTAACCCCCCTTTTTGTCCTGTGACTACAGAGGAGTTAACAGTCACTTCACCTTGAATGGCCCCTTAGAATATGTGCTAAATACTTTTGCTAGACAATCTGTTTGATCTTGTATTTAGCTGTGATGCTCTTCCCTGGATTGCTAAGTAACACTGGGCAGTTAATTCCCCTCTCTGTGCCTTAGTTTCTCTATTTGTAAAATGGGCTAATGACACTGTCCTTGTTTGTAAAACACCTTGCGGTCTACTGATAAAGTGCTATATAAGACCATGGTGGTATTGTAATGTTGTTTATTATTATAAATACCATTACTATTTAAGCAGAGAGTCCAAAATTGGAATTGATGTGGAGACTGAACTGCTTTTTCTGCTTTTGCATGACCAAGCATATTAGTGAGTCAGTGGTTGGGAAATTTTGCACTCTTTCCCCATGTCTTATCAGTCATTTGGACAGACAGGGGATGTTATCTTCAAGCCTATTAATCCTGCACCTTGCACGAACATGAAGCACATATTCCACTTACATTTTTTTTAAACAGTTCATTGCCATAAAAAAGTGGGGTTTTTGTTTTTTCTTTGGTACAGGAATTATCTACTGTTTTTCACAGAAGGACTCAGAGCAAGTTACCATTAGTTTGCGGAAACTGGGAATTAAGGCAGATGCTTACCATGCAAATCTGGAGCCCAAAGATAAGACCAAAGTTCACAAGGGATGGGCAGCCAATGAAATCCAGGTTAGGTATACAATTACTTCTATAGAACTATCAGACTTAAATAACTATATAAATCTGTATCCTGATGGTTTAATGGTTGTACTCCTGTTTCAGGTGGTAGTGGCAACAGTTGCATTTGGCATGGGAATTGATAAGCCAGATGTGAGGTTTGTAATTCATCATTCAATGAGCAAATCCATGGAGAACTACTATCAAGAGAGTGGACGTGCAGGTATTGTGAACAAGTTGGCTCCTACTGATAAAGGGAATAGACTTCCATAAACCAGTAATATTGTGTTCGTTGTTTTCCTATTGTAATAGAGTTCACAGAGGGCCAGGTGGCCCAGTGGTTAATGCACCCGGTTTCTAGTCCCGTGGTTCCCAGTGGGAAAGGCATTCAATCCGGTTCCTAACCCTTGTATGTAGCTTATCTTAACATCCTTACCCTCTCCTTTCTAGAGTGTGTAGGGAATAGACCCTCCTTGTACACTGGAAAGGGCTGGGGTGGAAATGAAGCTTATGCCCCTCCTGCAACAAGGGCAGTTGTTAGGGGAGGCCAGGTCCTCCCCCAGCATCTCGAAGTCCAATATAAGTAAAAGAAAAGACAACAAAACCTTCAGCCCCAACGGGTCTCAGCAGGCAGTCTTCTTCCTCACATGGAGGCTTCTTCGGCATCCTTATTCAGGAGCCTGCAGAGTAAGTCTGTCTTCCTCCCCATTCTGAGCTGAGTTGCTCCCTTTTAAGCTTCCTTTCCAGTTAGTGTGCTTTGTAGGTCTGGAGAGGTAGGGCTACCTGAGCGCAGTATTGTCCCTTCACCCCTTCAGGCTCAGCATGGGGTTTGTATATCCCATCACAGATTTGTCATTGCAGTATGTTGACACAGAGCATTAAACAGTAATAAGTCACCAGGACCAGATGGTATTTACCCAAGAGTTCTGAAGGAACTCAAATATAAAATTGCAGAACTAACAGCTGTGGTATGTAACCTATTACTTAAATTAGCTGATGTACTAGATGACTGGGGGATAGCTAATGTGACAACAATTAAAAAAAAAAAAAGGCTCCAGAGGCCGTCCCAGTAAGCCTAATTTCAGTACCAGGTAAATTGGTTGAAACTGTAGTGGAGCACAGAATTATCAGACATATAAATGAACGTGATTATTGGGAACGAGTCAACATGGCCCTTTTGTAAAAGAAAATCATGCTTCACCAATCTACTAGAATTCTTTGGGGGGGGGGTCAACAAAAGGGTGATCCAGTGGATATAGTATACTTGGACTTTCAGAAAGCCTTTGACAAGTCTCTCACCAAAAGCTATTAAGCAGAGTAAACAGCCCTGGGGCAAGAGAGGAGGTCCCCTCGTGGTTCAGTAACTGGTTAAAAGACAGGAAACAAGGAATAAATGTTCAGTTTTCAGAATGGAGAGAGCTAAATATGGGGTCCTACCAGGACCTGTACTGCGACCAGTGCTGTTCAGCATATTCATAAATTATCTGGGAAAGGGGATAAACAGTAGGGTGGCAAAGTTTGCAGAAGATGCAAAATTACACAAGGTAGTTAAGTCCAAAGCTGACTGCAAAGAGTTACAAAGGGATCTCACAAAACTGCGTGAATGGGCAACAAAATGGCCGATGAAATTAATTGTTGATAAATGCTCATTGGAGAAAACAATCCCAACTAAATGTACAAAATGTTAGTTGTTACCACTCAAGAAAGAGATCTTAAAGTTATCATGGCTAGTTCTCTGAAGACACCTGGTCAGTGTGCAGCAGCAGTCAAAAAAGGTAACAATGTTAGGAACCATTAGGAAAAGAATAAATAATAAAAGAGAAAATATCATAATGCCACTATTTAAATCCATGGGATGCCCACAGTTCTGGTCACCCTATCTGGAAAAAAAAAGATATATAATAGAAATGGAAAAAGTACAGAGAAGGGCAACAAAAATGATGAGGGGTATGGAACAGCTTCCCTATGAGGAGAGATTAAAAAGACTGGAACTATTCATCTTGGAAAGAGGTGACTAAGGGGTGGGGGTATGATAGAGGTCTATAAAATCATGAATGGTGGGGAGAAAGTGAATAGGGCAGTGCTATTTACCCCTTTATATAATACAAGAACCAGGAGTCACCCAATGAAATTAATATGCAGCAGGTTTAAAACAAACAAAAGGAAGTACTTCTTCACACACTGTGTGGAACTCATTTCCAGGAGATGTCATGAAGGCAAAAATTATAACTGAGTTAAAAAAAGAATTAGATAAATTCATGGAGGGTGGGTCTATCCGTGACTATTAGTCAAGATGGTCAGGGATGCAACCCCATGCTCCAGGTGTCCCTAAGCCGCTGAGCGCCAGTTGCTGGGACTGGTGGACAGTGGATGAATCACTTGATTGCCTTGTTCTGTTCATTCCATTTGAAGCGCTTGGCCTTGGAAGACAGGATATTGGCTAGGTGGAGCATTGGCCTCACCCATTATGACCATTCGTATGCTAATATATGTTGTGCTTTTGGCCTGGCTCTCATTTACACTTAAGGCCCCTTTACACCATTCTGGCAATTAAAGAGGTCTTAAAGTGGGCATAAATTACATTTACACTCACTGTAAGGGCTATTTACACTGCCAGAGTGGTGTAAAAGAGCCTTAATATAAATGAAAATCTGGCCCTCTGCCTTTTGTTTTTTAGCATATTCTTGTTTTGTGACACCCATTGTTACCAAAATTACTTCATGACATGCAAATTGTTGGCTGATCAGATGTGTGCTATTTGTATAACTACTTGGGATGTTTGACCCATGACTGTATTGTGCTTTTCATCCCAAACTCTCTCTCAAGTGATCTCTGAGCTCTATACGAGATTCATTTCTTTCACCATGAAAATGCAGCCACCTATTGGGTATAGAGCATCAGCTATTGACTAGTGCACACCAACACTACACATCTGAGGGCTAAAAGGGAGTAATACCATCCTAGCAAATTGAAATTAGAGGGAGAATTTTGATTGGTTCAAATTTGGTCAGTACACTAGAGTTAAAAGAATGTTTACACGACCATAAATAATGAAGACCTCTGTTTTGTTTCATCTGAAAAATGACATCTTCCACAGAAATACCCCTTAGCACCTGCTGTAGTGTTGGTTAGATATTGATTCAGAGGGAATAGTGACATAGAAGAGGGAGAATGCAACAGCATAAACTGAGGAAAAACTCAGTGATACTCAATAATTGGAAGGCTGGACAGTTGCTGATTTTCCTTTGGCTCGGTAGTAACGCACAAACTCGGACAGGATTTGAAGTTACGTGGAAGGCTTCTGAAGACCTCATGAAGCAATTGACTGAGATTTGAACACTGCCTTTTCTTCATATGTATGTTAGGCATCAGCTTCAGTACTGGCATAAAAAAGGCACAACTTCTACTGAAATCAATGGGAGTTTGCATCTGCTTATACTAGTACTGAACTGTTCGCAGGTCATGTCAGGGATGATGGCATGAATGAATTAAAGCTGATGAGGTAGGGACCACCAGTTAATGGCTCTAACTGCTGCCCCTGGATGTTTAGTGTAAACTCCCATTACACTGGTGCTGCTTACACCTACTTAAACTTTGTTTTATGAAAGTTTATGCCATTGCTTATGTAACTACTGTCAAAGTTTGACTCAGACTCACACTTTATCAGACCACTCTGTTTTATTAGCAAAGCTGCTCTGCTAATACATTTAGAAGTGAGCCCCCCGAGTGGGGCTTGTGTCTCTTAATTTTTATAAGGTTTTTGGAGAACAAGTTACAGAGAAGTTACAGACAAAAGAAGAAAAAAGATTTTAGTCACCACCCTTCGAGATCCCTGAGACCAGTCACATATCTTCAATTACCTGCCACCCTTAACAATCTCCTTTAACAGCTTCCAGTTAACTTGACTAATTGCCCTTCACACCTTCCATTCTGATGCCTGCTTCTTAGACCTGCTGGCTCTATCTTAATTGCTTTTCCAGTCAAAAGCTAACTGTCCCTACATGAAGAAAAGGAGTACTTGTGGCACCTTAGAGACTAACCAATTTATTTGAGCATGAGCTTTCGTGAGCTACAGCTCACTTCATCGGATGCATACCGTGGAAACTGCAGCAGACTTTATATACACACAGAGAATATGAAACAATACCTCCTCCCACCCCACTGTCCTGCTGGTAATAGCTTATCTAAAGTGATCATCAAGTTGGGCCATTTCCAGCACAAATCCAGGTTTTCTCACCCTCCATCCCCCCCACAAATTCACTCTCCTGCTGGTGATAGCCCATCCAAAGTGACAACTCTCTACACAATGTGCATGATAATCAAGTTGGGCCATTTCCTGCACAAATCCAGGTTCTCTCACCCCCTCACCCCCCTCCCAAAAACCACACACACAAACTCACTATCCTGCTGGTAATAGCTCATCCAAAGTGACCACTCTCCCTACAATGAAAAGGAGTACCATTTCCCAGCTATTACCAGCAGGAGAGTGAGTTTGTGTGTGTATGGGGGTGGGGGGGATGTGAGAAAACCTGGATTTATGCAGGAAATAGCCCGACTTGATTATGTAAAGAGTTGTCACTTTGGATGGGCTAGCACCAGCAGGAGAGTGAATTTGTGTGGGGGGGTGGAGGGTGAGAAAACCTGGATTTGTGCTGGAAATGGCCCACCTGATGATCACTTTAGATAAGCTATTACCAGCAGGACAGTGGGATGGGAGGAGGTATTGTTTCATATTCTCTGTGTATATATAAAGTCTGCTGCAGTTTCCACGGTATACATCTGATGAAGTGAGCTGTAGCTCACGAAAGCTCATGCTCAAATAAATTGGTTAGTCTCTAAGGTGCTACAAGAAAAGTACTCCTTTTCTTTTTGCGAATACAGACTAACACGGCTGTTACTCTGAAATCTCCCTACAATGTGCATGATAATCAAGGTGGGCCATTTCCAGCACAAATCCAGGTTTTCTCACCCCCCCACCCCCATACACACACAAACTCACTCTCCTGCTGGTAATAGCTCATCCAAACTGACCACTCTCCAAGTTTAAATCCAAGTTAAACCAGAACATCGGGGGGGGGGGGGTAGGAAAAAACAAGGGGAAATAGGCTACCTTGCATAATGACTTAGCCACTCCCAGTCTCTATTTAAGCCTAAATTAATAGTATCCAATTTGCAAATGAATTCCAATTCAGCAGTTTCTCGCTGGAGTCTGGATTTGAAGTTTTTTTGTTTTAAGATAGCGACCTTCATGTCTGTGATTGCGTGACCAGAGAGATTGAAGTGTTCTCCGACTGGTTTATGAATGTTATAATTCTTGACATCTGATTTGTGTCCATTTATTCTTTTACGTAGAGACTGTCCAGTTTGACCAATGTAAATGGCAGAGGGGCATTGCTGGCACATGATGGCATATATCACATTGGTAGATGTGCAGGTGAACGAGCCTCTGATAGTGTGGCTGATGTCATTAGGCCCTACATGTGCTCCCTCAGATACTTTGTAACATGTTTTGGCATGCCCTCTCATATACAATGTATCCAGCATGTCCCCTTATACAACGCTATACTTATACAATGTTATACTTCCACACTACTGATTTGACTCGCTCTTCCATGTGAGGTGTATTTACTCCATCTGCATATGGCTGAATTTTTGGCCTATAGTCTTTGAACATGAAACCTTCCTCTTTTTCCCTGCATCCAAATGAAATGATTCTTTATGCCTAACTGTGATAAAATTTCATAAGTGTTCAGGCTTTGCCAAGGTTATGGGAATGGGAGACCAGTGCATGCGAACACCCAACAGTACGTAGTCCTACCAAAATCAAAAGGAAAAATTGTCACTCATCCTAGCGAGATAAAGCAGTATTGTTGTTAAATAGAATGCTTCGTTAGAGTATTTCCACAATGTGATAGCAGCACTTGAGGGTTTGATCCTCGATAGATCAGGAGGTGTAGTGGCAGTTAAAAAGCTGCCTTTGTACTAAATTATTTTTTGTTGGCCCTCTTGGAGGCCTATTAAAATGGCTGAAATTGTGTAGCCAACAAATATTTGATATAAAAATTCATTTGAATTGGATTAATGTCAATGCATGTTTTTCAGGAGGGATTTTTCATAAGCACCAGTGCTTGCCTATCTCTGCTTCCATTGACTTCTGATGTATACATTAAGACTGTACTGGAGACTAATTCCTTGTTACAGACTTTGAGAGCATACTTTTCAGGGTGTGTATATATACATAACTCCTTACATAGTATCTGCGTACATTTCACAATGATGATGATGACCAGTGTGACACTGCCTTTCATTTTGAGATCTCACTGTACATCCTTTGAACCAGAATATACATACAGAATCCAGAGATTCCTGTAAATCCTCTGCACTCCCTTGCCAGTTGGCATGAAGTGGTTCTTGGGTCACATTTTGCATATTCATAAAACATTTCTTCTTTGTTCCTAAACTTGTGAAAAGTCTAAATGCAAAGTCTAAATGGTGTTGTTTCAAATGCATTGTAGGTCGAGATGACCAGAAAGCTGACTGCATTTTATATTATGGTTTTGGAGATATATTCAGAATCAGCAGCATGGTAGTGATGGAGACTGTGGGGCAACAGAAACTATATGATATGGTATCCTATTGCCACAACATGAACAAGTAAGTTATTCTGGCTTTCTGATGGTTTTTTTTATTTTTTAAATAACTTTTCTTCCATGTTTATAGATATTAATAGGGAACAGTCACATATGCCAGGATTTGTGTATCTGAAGATCATCACATTTGATATAGCATATGAAATAAGAGTGTTTAACTTACCACTCACTCTCTCTCGCTGTTTTAAAAATGTGCATGGTAGAAGTAGTTTGTATTACAGCTGTAAAAGAAATCAGCCAAAAGCATGTAGGTTTCAAGCCCCTTTCAGTGTATGTGCTGGAATATTTTGCTTTGAGATATCAGTACATAATAGTCGGACTGGATCAGAGTCCTGTTTAATCTGATATACTTCAGAAGAAGGTGGAACTCCTGCCCTTGACAATGTTCTTGCCAGTTTAGTGAATACTGTACAACAGGGGTAGGGGAAAATCTTGGCCTAATCTCACAATCCAATTGATATTCTGAAGCATTAGTATCAATAGTCCTTGTCATTTTCATCCTACTTACTGGAATTGCAGATGCTGTTGATTATCATGTAACTAATCTTTTCTATTTAAATAAGCTGTTCACTCAACAATAGTCGTAGCAGTGAATGCCACAGTAAAACAGTATTTCCTTCTTGAGTGACCGCTTTTTCTTTTTTTGAGACAAGATAGGATCACTTAAGTGGCTTTCTCTGCACCATTCATTTGATGTAATATATATGTGCACCTGTATTTTACAATCTTACTGTTGCCTCATCTCTAAAATAAATATCTATATCTATATCTCTATACTCTCAGGTGTCGCCGCGTATTGATTGCTCAGCATTTTGATGAAGTGTGGGATTCTGCAAACTGCAACAAAATGTGTGATAACTGCTGTAGAGAGAAGCTTTGTAAGTAAACTGATGTTTAATTTGAAAGCAGACAGTAGGGTTACTATATGCTTCAAAGAAATGTCCAGTCTAGACAAGATGTTTAAAGCCTTCTAAAAGGGAATTCAACTAATCGGTCAATCATGTAGGCAGGGTAGTAGCCGTGCCTATTTTTTAAGGTTGCTCAACACTTCCCGTTGCAAGACCCTGTTTTCATTTGCTTATAAATTTGCATAACTTTAACCATTTGGGCTGAAATTTTCTATGCTGCTGGGTATCTTCCTTGGGCTGAATTCTTAAATTTCAGCCAAAACAGTCCAGCTGTTTTCAAGAACTAGACTAAGGGAAAACATGTTGTTTTGCCCAGGTTGAAAATATATTCTGATGTCCTTTTCTTTGAGAAGCTCTAGTGCCCTAATGCTTTGCAACAGGCACTTGAAATTTGGCCAGGGTGGCTTTTGTGTCAGATGTGCCTTTTTGCTGTCCCTGTGCAAATCTGCCCAAATTTGCCTATCTCTTTGGAAAAAAAATTATGTTCACACATGCTCAGTAGAGACTATTTAGAATTCAGCAGCTAAAATCTCTAAAGAAGATTCCATTCACACTGGGCATGCTCCAGCCCCATGTGTGATCAAACTACACATGTGCCATCACCAGAGAGCAGCTAGCATGCTCTGGACTGGGGTTAAGCCTGGGTTGTGGATGATCAAAAGAACTTTCCCTGTAATTGCTGCTCTGGACTGGGGTTAGGGCAGGCTCTGGAACAGAGAGCAGGGAGGCTGTGAGCCGTGCTCTGAATGATTCTCTGCTGGTGCACCCTCTGGGGGTGAGGGAGAGGAGTTGATTGGGACATGGAGCCTGGTGGGGGTGGGGGAAGAGAGAAACTGGGAGTTGAGATGTTTGGGACTGACTGGGAAAGGAGACAGAGCTGGGATGGTGGGGAGGCAAGTCTAAGGAGTGCAGCCTGGGACTGTGGTGGGCAAGGAGAATGGGATTGGAATGAAGAGCCAGGGATGGGAAAGAAACAGGACTGGGATAGGGATGGTTTGGAGTGGACAGGACAAGAAAGAGGAATAGGCAGAAGGGCCTGTGCCCACTAGAGCACGCTATTTTTCAGAGCCTGAAATGGAACCAAACATTCCAGTATCTCACCATTCCTCTGCTGTCAACAATTAAACACTGACAAAGTGTGTGTGTTATTTCCCCCCTCTAGTGCTGGTCCACACAGAGGATGACAGCCTACAATTGCTCTGTCACTTTTGCACTGAATCAGGCAGGGGTCCTGTGGGAAAAGTAGTGTGTGATCATCTTTTTAAAGACTGATCACATAAGGGCTACAGGCTTGTCATGGTGATGTAAAAACTCATGGGTACTGTAGTTTCTCTGACTAACCTGTGGAAAGGTTCTTGGTGGGTCATCTCACTGGCCTGGTCTTGGGAGAGGAGAGGGGTTGGAGAGCAAGCCCACCTTGCACTCACCCTGCAGTGGCAGTTCTTATCCTATGGGGCTGGGCGTTGTTTCCTGGCACACAGGATTGCAGCGCCACTCATGTTTGGTTCCGTCGCCCCTCTGTCATGAGTGGGGGTGGGATGGCCGAGCCAAATCTGAGTGAGTGGTGTTACAACCAGGTGCACAGGGTTGCAGCACCATTCACTCGAATTTGACCCAGTCACGACAGAGGGCCGGCCAAACCTGAGCAGTGCTGTGATCTCAAGTGCCAGGTCACGACACCCGGGGTAGTGAGCTGAACCGAGACCTGCAAGACACAGGAGCTGCTGCTACCTGTGCTGGAGGTGAGTGTGGGGCAGGCTCAAGACCACTTCCTAGGATCCCCCTCTGACGAGCCCAGGATTAGCATTGCAGTGCCAGAATAGAGGGTGCTGCTGCAAGCAGTTGGTGCCCCTTTGGTGGGGTGAGGGGGCAATGGAGGAGGAGGACACTGGGATGCTATAATTTTGAAGCGGGATAGTTGAGTTTAATTTGTCAGGGCATTTTTTTAATCAAAAATCACGGAGCAGTCACTAAATCTGTGACTTTTATGAAAGTAACTGTGACAACTCTGATCTGTGATTTTTAAAAAAGTGCCAGGACAAATCTGCAGCCCTAATCCATCATACATGTACACAAGGGGGCAGAACGAAGGTTACAGGCAACCTTAATTCTGGCATTTTGTAACTTTTGAGTGCTTTTTCTTTGCACTCAAAGAAATATTATATTAAGAATAGAAAGAGTACTCAAGAAGGAGGGAATGTAAACACAGCAGTCCTACCATTTACATAGCACCTGTCGTCCAAAGATTTCAGAGCGATCCAAACATCTCAATAGCCCTGTGTAGTGTCAGCTTGGAGTAAATCCTGATTCTCCAGTCCCCAGCTCTGATCACTAGATTACATTCCTTCCCTGTGCACTCGTGTGCGCGCTCTCTCTCTTTTATTTTTCTTCAAATGATAGGCTGGGAGAGACACGTATGAAGATGTTTGAATGACTTTTTTGGCATAAAATTTTTGGAATTTGCTTGTATACAATACTTTTTATTTTTGTAAGGAAGTATTTGATAATAATTAGAGATGAGGCTTGAACAGTGAAGTTCAGATCTGGAACTGAACGTAAGCCTAGTTTGGATATTCAGATCCTGGGTTTTTGTTTGGACCTGTATCGAATAAGAACTGGCCAGTGAAAAATATTTGAAGGATGACCTGTCTGATTGCTATTTTATTCTCAATCTCCTGTCATAGTCATGTCTGTGGGGAACCTTACCTTAGTAGCATTAGGTCGGGGTCTGGGCAACTTTCTGTGAAAGACACTCCTTTCAGTGACCCACACTGGATGCTGTTACAGTCTGTCTCATAGCCATTTCTATCCTTTTTTCCATTGGAATAAATTTGTTTGAGGCTTTTCTGTTTTTTAAAAAAAATGTGTATTCTGTCTCTAGTCTGTAAACTCCTAAGACATTTCTTGCCTCAATTTATATGCAGTAAAGCTCTGTGTAACTTTACTTTGCTCTGCTCTGTAAATGTTTCAGAATAAATACCACCGGGGGGAGAGAGAACCCAGTTGCAAATAATATATTACCTAGTTTGTGAGTCAGCAAAACGCCACAATTAACAAAAACACTGAAGTCACATCACATGTCCAAATGAGATTTAAATTGCTTCCTACCTAAATTAGGAGACTTATTCATGACAAGCTACTATGAAATCCATTTTAAAAAAACTAGCTGGATGCATCAGCTTTATTATTTGAAATGTCAGCGTTGTTCCTATTCCCATTAGAAGGTAGCTGGGAAAGGTCTAGAATTCTAGGTAGAATTTGAATACTAAAAGCTGCAGTAGTAGATCAGCATTTCAGATGACTGACAAAATAACCAGCCTGAGCCTGCAAAGACTTGAGCACATGCGTAACTTTATGCTGGGAGTAGTGCCACTGAAATGGACTATTCAGTGTGTAAAGTTCAGCATGTATGAAAGTCTTTGCAGGATTGGAGATTAAATTATTAAGTACAAGCATAAATGTGACTTGAACAATACCTGATAATCACAAACATCCGAGTTCACAATATTCCAGCCGTATAGAATTGATTTATATTTTATTGAAAAGAAACATCTCTGGCACAGTAGGCTTTGTTCTGAAGTAATAAACCTCTTCTTTCCCTTGTAGCATTTGAGAGAATGGATGTAACGGGATACTGCAGGGATCTAATCAAAATACTAGAGCAAGCGGATAACATGAGTGAAAAACTCACTCCACTGAAATTAATTGATGCCTGGCTGGGCAAAGGTGTGTCAAAGTTAAGAGTGGCTGATGTTGTTCCTCCAACGCTCCCTCGTGATGAACTGGAGAGGATTATTGCCCATTTCATTCTGCAGCAGTATCTGAAGTATGTGTGACCATTCATTCTTTCCTTTGAAATCTTCTAATTACAGTAAAAGTTGTGTTATCTGGCACTTTACCAACCAGAAAGCTCTAGAAACCAGCATTTTTGATATCTCCCAATACAAATCCTCAATAGGGTTGCCAAGTGTCCAGTTGTCCCGCTGCTTCATGCGCTGCCCCCTCCCCAAGTGCTGACTCTGCAGCTCCCATTGGCTGGGAACCGCGGCCAATGGGAGCTCTGGGGGAGGTGCCTGTGGGCAGAGGCAGTGTGCAGAGCTGCCTCGCTGCACCCCCACCTAAGATCTGAGGGACATGTTGCTACTTGTGGGGAGCTACCCAAGGTGAGCACTGCCCAGATCTGGCACCCTGAAATCCCTCCTGCACCCTAACCCCCTGCCTGACCACCCCGTCCCACACCCAAACTCTCTCCCTCCATTGGTAAGTATAACTCTTGGTTAACTTGAATTTTTGACTGACCAGCTCCCCCATGCCTCCAGCATGCTGGATACCAAAGCTTTTACTGACCTGTTTTCTCTGCAACAGTGCTGTTTTGGTATAATATCACAAAAGTGGGGGGTAAATGCTAAATTTGTTAATGATTTGTTAATGATAGTCCCCAATCCTGGAACAAGTGCCACTGAGGCAAACTAACTGTTGCACTTGTGCAGCACCACATTGACTGCATTGAGATGAGATGGGCAAAGAAGATTGCTTGTGCAGAAGCTATTGCACCATTAGGGGTTTACTGTGGCATGTGAGACTTAAGAAAACACAACGAAAATGACACCGATTTCATTTTGTAACCTGTGATTCCATGGATGTGTGCTGCTTTCTTTTCAACATCAGGACCTCTGAATATATGGGACTCTGACATCCCGTGAACTTTCCATCATGAACAAAAAATGACAAAGGATTTACACACTTGACCTTTATGAGCCTGATAGGACAGGAAGGTTGACTGAGTCAAAATGTTTTTTGTTTTTTTTCCCTCGCTTAGTGTCCAGATGTCATATTATTTGTACTCCACTAGACCAATGAGAAGTGCCAAAAAGTCAGCAAAATAAAGTTGGCACTTTATACCTTAATTCAAGAGACAATCCTGCCAACTGCCATTTTAATTCAGTGATTATTTGCTTGCATAGGTGCAACAGGATCAAGGAATTAGTGGGGCATCTATTCATAACAGTTCCTAAATGTCTCCACATTTCCCCTTCATATCTATTCTGCTCACACTACTCCTGTTCCCAGTTTTTTCCTCTGACTGTGGCTTAACTTTTGCAGGGAAGACTTCAGTTTCACAGCATTTGCTACAATATCCTACTTGAAAATTGGACCCAAAGCTGATCTGCTAAAAAATGAGGCATATGTTATCACCATGCCCGGGAGATCAAACAAAAAAAGTGTTGACAAGGTATTTGTGTGTGTGTGTGCGTGTAATATATATACTGACTACTTTATATGATTATTTTTCCATTAGTATTTACCACAGCTGGTTAGTGCCTGTTTACTATGTGTAAAATTAAGAATGTTTTTTCCTCAGTGTATTTCCCCCCTACCTCATTAAATATGTTTCTTTTGATCCTTTTTGCAATAGTGTCTTTCCAATTACACATTTTAAGATGCAAAATGTAGGAGGGTGAGGAGGAGGGGGGAAAAGTTCAGTACTGATTTTAAAAAAAAAGTTCAGAAGTGTTGTGTTCTCTTTACATTTCACCTGAACGGATTTGCTCATTCTCGCTGTGTGTAATACAATGGAATTAACATGAGTGATGAATGCATTTAGAATCATATTTCAGCAAGAATAGAATTCCAGGTAATATAAATATTAAACCACAAGACTTACAATTGTCATTGTGAACCGTCTTACAGCTCTCATACAGATTCCACATTTAGGCATTATAGCGATGTTGATTTATATTTGAAACCCTTTTGACAATAAGTCGAAAGCTATGTAGCTATAGCAACATATTCTTTCCAGTTATACCTATGCAAATCATTAGCAATGCTATCAATTTTAGTTGAGGTAATAGGAATTAACATCTTGTTATGTAACAAGAATGTGGACCAGTGTTTAGACTTATTTAAAATAATTGTTGCTGTAGTCACTATTAAATATGACTGAATCAGTCTGTAAATGTTGTTTCAACTTGCCTCTCTATCCCCAATTAAAATATAGATTAACAAGAATGGCACTTACATAGAATTAGGGACCACTTACATTCTATAGCTATTTGGACATAAAGTTAAAATAGGTACAGATCCTGCCACATTTTGCTCATGTAAGAACTGTGCCACGTGAGCAAGAGTTTACAGAATCAGACCCTTGATCAGCTCTAATGAGGGTGCAATTGGTTGCTCAACAGCCATGTTGGCTTTATCGTTAGCAGGAACTGATCATTTGAATGGATGAAATAACTCTGTTGACTAGACTGAAAATCTCAAGTATCTTACATACAGCAGCTTAATATGATGTAGCAACAACATATTCTATGTATTTGTCACAGATGTTACTGCCTTTAAAGGGGTATTTCAGGTTCAGCTGAATCATTCTTCTGAATGTAGCAGGTACTGTGGGCATAATACACTGTTAATGCTGCCCTGTGCACGTTATCTTTTGAAGAAATTTGGACATGCCACAGGAACATCTCACAGATGCTGTTGTAAAAGAGTAGAACAATGGCCACAAAAAGAACTCCTCTCTGCATCACCCTTAATAAAGCTTGATCATTATAGTACGTCCTCAGTATGTACTGAGGAAGGAGAAAGAGAGTCTGTCTTAATTGAGCTGTGTTTATGATCCACAGGTCAAATCTCCTCAGTCTTCTAATTCTGGAGGGCCTGGTGGAAACGTACGAGAAGACATTTCTGAGACTATCCAGAACTCTGCTGCAAAGAAGACAAAAGCACAGAAACGGCGCCATTGTGAGAACAACCCTAAAACAAAGAAGCTTAAGCTTGAGGATGATGATGACTAGCTGGTAGTCCTGGACTGAATTTTACAATGAAAAGTATATCTAGGATCCTACCATTTCCGCTTCTCTGTGAGAACTCTGTGCAGAAGTATAATTTGTATTTTATTAATTGCTTCTTTTAAATGCAAAGGATTTGTGTGTTCCTCAGAAAGGTTGGGCAAAAAACAAATATATGCAATTTCTGAACATACAAGCAGGCAAAAATCTGGCGTTAAGTAGACCATGGATAAACAAAGGGTTATCAAAATAATCAGCCCATATCTGATTATATGGGTCTGATGTCTCATGCAGATCATTTCAATATATATTGCTTTTTTCAAACCCTCTTTATTTTACAAAGCACACAATGTCATAGTAAAATATACTGTAGTAATGCACTTAAACTCATATAAACGTAAAGCATCCTCATTATACCCTCTAGCTACACTGCTCCTAATGATAGGAAAAGCAAACTAAACCGTATATATTCACATATGCAAAACAACAAATATATTTATCACATTATCTCTTAAATTTCTCCTGCTTGTTGTTCAGATGGAAAAATTACCCTTTCAAGATCTGTTTAAATGTTAGAAAAGGGTATGTTGGCTTAACAGTTGTATTTTCTAAAGCATGTGAAAAAATTAGGTGCCCAACTCCTACTGAAAGTCAATGGGAGTTGGGCACCTAATTCCCTTGTGGGCTTTTCAAAAGCACCTTATTTAAAACAAAATTAAAACCCCACTTCCTTGCCCTTGAGCAGGTTTTTTTCGTTTAGTTCATGTTGTATTATTCGGTGAATGTACAAACAACAATTTCACTAATGAATTTGACCAAGAAAATAACAAGTCATTACCTTTAAACACAAATTATAGAACTAGTTCAACATACCTCAGCTTGGACCTCATCCTGCTCCCATTGAAGTCAATGGGAAACTTGCCATTCACTGATGAATAATTAGGCCTAAAGTCTCACAGGAACACACATACTTCTGCTCCAATCTGTGCGGTGTTAGGATGTGGGCAGTATTCTCTGATGATCTGTTGACGCATCAGTACTTCATGGAGTAGATATGGAAATGTGTTTTCCGGTACTCACACTGTTAAAGTGTTTTCGGCCTAGAATATGGCCTACCTTAAATTTATCTACTGCAGCCTCTCAACCCTAATTTTTTAACCACTTTGTCTCTGAGAAACATACATATATATTCATTTATGCACACCTGTTATTTTTGTAGATGGCAAAGAGAGCACAAGCCACGGAACAATCCCTATTGTAAAATGCTGCTGCTACTTACTTACAACAGCTTAGATAATGATAGCAAACAAGGCAGCTTTTGTTGGCTCATCTGTCAGAAACTAGGAAGTAAATCAATGTTTTTAGCAGACAGAAAAGAACAACAAAATTTACTAACAAAGACCTTGGATAAGATCCTCAGGTGGGGCAAGTTGGCATAGTCCCACATGTCAAGGGAATAATCAGTGCGGATTTACACTAGCTGAGGATCTGGTCCCTCAAATTCAAGTTTCTACAGGAGAACATAAAATCACTTTTGAACTGATTGGAAACATTATTTTAGGAGAAGTTTGAGATGGCACACTGTAGCTGAACGTTATCATTTTTGTTTGCAGTGACACCCTGGGAGCTTGAAACTGACATGTTCCTTTGACTAACTTTATTTTATCTTTAAATATGCATCCAAAGGGTTGATGATGTAAGGTTACCAACAACCCTACAATAACAATCGGGATTATCAGGCAAGCTGTGTGCATTAGTCAATCTGAGAAAGGATTGTTACACATTAAGACCATTCTATCTGTCATTCCTAAATCCTGAATATACAGTGGCCTTGTTTATACTCAGTAGCACTGTGCAAGTAAAAGCATGTTGTTTGATGGCAGGATGCCATGTGGCCACTGCAGGTTTTGTAAAGTGGCTTGTTGGGGTTCATCCTTGCCCATACTCCCTAAGGCAAAATGCATGCATGTGCTTTAAAGTGTATATATCTTTTACATATGTATATTAGAGGTAGACCCAAGCCCCTAGAACTTCGGTGAAGTTCTGATCTGGATCTGAAATTTGACACAAGCCCATGCCTAAAATTTTTCTTATCCCATGTAAACAAATTTACATTTTACTAGCTGAATTTTGTCCTGGTGAGCAATCTGCATATCAGCTACTTAAAATGATGCTGTTGACATGAAAAAATGCAGATCACTGAAATTTAGTAGACAAAACTTGCACAAATAGATTAATCCCTTTAATGGGGTGGTGTAAGGAAACCTCAGGACTGCATTGTTGTGCTTGCTTACGTTTCTGGGATTGGTTGTCCATAGCAGGTTCATCTTAATGTGCTAAGTGTTCTTTGTGGCGCCGAACTAGTTAATCAAAACTGTAATAATTACTGAGACAAAGAAATGATGCTGAAAAATGATCTATTAGATCATAGGAAATGTTGGTGGTAGGACAACTGGTCTTGATAAATATTCTGAAAGCGCAGGGAATTTAGCACATACAGCTAAAGTTTGTAGCTTTGGTATTAGCTTTTGACTATGATGCCATGTACACTGGCCCTGGAATAGAATTTGGAATGTGAGTTTAAATATTGTTCCAAACAAAACTAATTTTGAATAGTCTTTGGCCTGTTTTGCTGGAAATGCATTCAAAAACAGTTTCCAAATTCTGTTCCCAGTTAAGCATTGACAGGGCCTGAGGCTGAAGGGGTGGGAGATTTCATCGTAGAAGGGAATATGAGTAGAAAACTGAGAGTTTGAGAGAGACCCACCAAACCATTACTCTTGCTTTTTGCTATAAATCCATCCTGGTGTTTTTTTCCCACATATAAGCTTGCAGAAAGTCTAGTGTTGAATTTTTTTAGTATTGTACATTAACAAATCACAGTGGATCAGAATTCAAGTAACTATGGAGTAGGTGCCCAATTCTACATCGCATATGGCTTAAGACCTAATAGCAGTACTGGTCCACCTTTCTTCTGTTATAACTGCAGGATGACAACTGCCAGGCTTTTATGCTGGCAAGCTCAAATGTCAAACAATTTTTAATTTCAAAGATATGAATACAAATGTTATGGTTTTTATTAAATGTAGACAAATGTATGTAAGTGGCCTGTAGGCACCTGGTTGCACACTGACATTCTTACCTGCACATGTGCACTTACACCGGAAATATTTTCATAGAAGTGATTGTACTGACTTTTTGCACTGTGTTACAGAACTGGGCATTGTATTTCTATGGAAGCTCACTATTTTGCTTCAAAATGTTGTATCTTGAAACAATTGCCGTACTTTGTTTTATTTTGTGTTTCTGGATAGTGTATTTTAACTATATATGTGCTTGATATAGAAAAAGCACGGCTATGATAGTGGAAAACGAGAGTAAATCTGAGTTCTGGCCACAGAAAGCTCTAGACCTTCTTCAATTTTAGATGAGTCTTGTTCCCTTCCCCTCTCCCCGGCATCTGCCTCATTCTGTTTAACATGTAGGAGTCTCACAAAATGCTTTCTTTAAATTGGCTAAGCAGGAAACTACCATTCCCATCAGTTCCCTTCCCCCTGACCATCTATGATGGATGTCATCCCATTCCCCTGGTCCATAGTGGGAGGAAGCAGCAACTCTATGGAAGAACCTGACCCAGCAAATCTTGCTTTGGAGGAGTGGTGGCTGCATGGTAAATTTGGAGTAGCAGGCAAGTTGAATGCAGGGGAGTCATAGGTAGAGCTCATACTGTGCATGAACAGGTTGGGAGTAGTAGATGTTGCAACCAGATCAGGTAGTGCAGAACCTGTGGGCAAGCACCAGAGACTGGGCAGGAAGCAACTGCAGAGGAGCCTCAATAATACTAACCTATCCTGGCCTTAAAACCTGAAAGCTCCTATTTGCCTCTAGCTGAGATTAGATTGGAGAGGCACCCAGATACCAGACTTGAGGAACCCTAGCACCCACAGCCCTCCCCTCACCAAGCCCAACTAGGAACCACTATTGTTCCACCTTAAATTGCAACTGTCTAAGCCACTGTTGCTAGAGTATTTCCCCTTTTGGCCAGCCCTAGTAAAATGTCCCTTCGTTTAGCCATGTGTATGAAGAGTAGCTGGGACCCATTTGGTCTAAGTGCCTAGAATTTGAAGTGCCTTCAGTGCTTGCCACAGGTGTGGCACACATGGTGTGCTACTAGGTTCCTTAGAAGTTTGGTGTACCACAGCACGAGCAGCTGTCATAGTTATGCTATTTCAGATGCTATGTCAGATATCCTGGCGTGCAGCTACTTTTTAAACACACCAACTGTTAGTTTGGCCTGGATGGCTTTAAAAATGGATATTGAGCTGTAGAGAAATTTTGGTACATTTTGTAAAATTTATAAAATTAGTATTTAGCAAAGTCTTTTGGCCAACTTCATGAAAATTAATTATGAAGGCTAGCAGTGTGTACAAGCCCATCAGCAAAATCTCAAAGAAATCGTTTAGCCATCTTTTATCCTAGGGAAAAAAAACAGCTAATATTGTTAGTGTTTGGCTAAATTCTGCAAGTTTTACTAGGGGAAAATTCTGGACGTTAATGCATTTTGCCAGGTGACGTTGGCAGGATTGGGCCTGTGCTGGAATATCAGACCTTCTTTCATGCTACAGCATTGTTCTCCACACGCTTCCATTTGTAAGATTCTGTGGTACGGTTAGTGAGAAGTACATTTTGGTCACTTTTTCAAAGCTAGCTGTTGCAGTGATGTCTGTTCGTAGAACCTGAAATGATAGCTCAGAGGTGTGACCTGCCTCATTTTAATGGATGCTAATCACATGCTTAATGATAATACTTTAAATGTTTACATTTAACTGTGAAGATCTTTATAATATAGTTTTTCCTCTTACCACTGAATGATCAATCGATTGGGAACAGCAGCTTTAGCCATACTAAATGAGTGGGTGGGAGAGAGTACCACCACTTTCTTCCCCAAAGGTGAAGAGCTCTAGCAGGTCTGAACTCCCAAAGAACCTAGCAGGTCACACAAACCTCAACCAGGGGAAGCGAACCCTGTGAAGCCCAAGAGAACTGATGGACTTGGTATATTCAACCCCCACAAAAGGACTTAACTATATTCTGAACTGCTGTTAATGGTACTTGTGTAGGCAGAGCTTAGAATATCACTACCTTCTCCTGCCATACATACTTTTACCCCTGGGCCTCATCCTTCAAACACTGAAGTCACTGCTTTTTGGTCATGGACTTCTTTGAAGTGGGGCGTTCACATTTTTTAAAATAATTGCTGCACTGAAACAGCAGGCACGTAACACATCATACCAGAATGCTGGAGCAGGGTTTGGGGCATTACATGATGACTATGAAAAAAGGCTGCTTTCCACAGTGTGGCTTTGATCACCTTAACTCTCCTTTGCTCCCTTACCAAACCTTCCTATAGATCTATATTAACAGTCCATACCAACAAAGAAAATCTTAGAATCATAGAATAGAATCATAGAATATCAGGGTTGGAAGGGACCTCAGAAGGTCATCTAGTCCAACCCCCTGCTCAAAGCAGGACCAATTCCCAGTTAAATCATCCCAGCCAGGGCTTTGTCAAGCCTGACCTTAAAAACCTCTAAGGAAGGAGATTCTACCACCTCCCTAGGTAACGCATTCCAGTGTTTCACCACCCTCTTAGTGAAAAAGTTTTTCCTAATATCCAATCTAAACCTCCCCCACTGCAACTTGAGACCATTACTCCTCGTTCTGTCATCTGCTACCATTGAGAACAGTCTAGAGTCATCCTCTTTGGAACCCCCTTTCAGGTAGTTGAAAGCAGCTATCAAATCCCCCCTCATTCTTCTCTTCTGCAGGCTAAACAATCCCAGCTCCCTCAGCCTCTCCTCATAACTCATGTGTTCCAGTCCCCTAATCATTTTTGTTGCCCTTCGCTGGACTCTCTCCAATTTATCCACATCCTTCTTGAAGTGTTCTTTTCTTCTGCAGTACAACCTCCCCTCCCCTTCACCAAAGACATTTTTTTTATAGCTGAATTTAATAAGCAAGTGACTTCACATCCTTAAATGTAGATGTAATAGGTGCAGACATGATGCTCTGGTAAATCACCTACATAAATATGCATTTGTCAAGATTTTCAAAAAACCCAGGTACCTACAATAAAGCTATATTTAGGCACCTGTTAAGTTAGTTCTCAAGTTTTCAAAATTCTTACATGCTGTGTTTAACAGCTTTTCCAGGTGGTTAAAACATTTATCTGCTGCTGATTTGGCTGGGGCCAGGACAGGTGGTCACACCTGATATGTTTGTAGGCTAGTGCTTCATGATAAATAAACCAAGTTCCTCACAGAAAAGGTAAAGTTTCATCCTTATCTCTTACAGTCATACTTCCCTGCCTCCCTACCCCCCTTCTCTGAACAGCAGGTGTCAGTGATGGAGCATCTGTAAAAATGCTGAACTTCCTTGTTTCAATATTTTTGGCTCTGCGCCCTTGTATAGTTTTGACAATAAATGGAAAATTAGACTGTTACATTTAAGACACTTTTTTTCAGCAATATCCACAGCTACCAAAATAGTTTTGTAGTGCATAAAAACTACTTGTTTTGATTCATCTTTGTTTCTTGTAGTAATTTCAATGTGTGTTAAGACTAAAGCTTAAAATTTCATACAGGATTAAACACCATTTACTGAAAGCTTCCCTTTAAGTGGAATTAATTCACTCCTGCTTATTTATGAACAGCAATGAATACTACATAATTAGGCTAAAAGGATTTTCTGGAAGACGTTTCAATGAAAATGGCCATCCTGATTCAGTGGAGTGCACTGTACTGTTAGTGTAATTTTAAAAAGAAAAAATATTGCTTTGGAAATTAATACTGGGCTCTTTTATATTAAAATATCCCATTGCTGTAGCTTGCACTGTAGAATACAGAGAAGATATTTAGGAATGGCTTTAAAGTTCTTGGCTCCTTTGAGCACTTATTTTCAAGGGTTAACAGATCCTGAAAGCTAGCTGCAGGAAATGCTTGAGATTTGAATTGGTTTGTACTGTCACCATTTTTAACATGCCACTTGTATAACTTCCACTATACTAGGTGCTTAGATTATTATTGTAAATTTATTTTAGTGGCAGAAATAAAAGCGTAATTATTTTGCAGCTCAAAATTAAATATTCAATTGGCACTTGCCACAATACAAGTTTTAGGCTTTAATACCTCCACAAACTCCTCCCTGGAAACAGAGTTCAAATAAGTCTGAGGGAGCAAAAAAGTCTTAGCAAAAACAAGCCCGTTTTAAAAGTGTCTTTTTTAAATGACCATGTCAGTTACCTGGGATGAACCTGCACATACATTTGGACACAAGGGGCCACAAAGAACTTAGTGCGTGCCCTGGACTTCCCCTTTGGGAATGGGCTGATGAAAATCTGTATAATGCCCAAACTGACATGATGTGGCAGTTTCCAAGAGTAAGGCTCTTCCAGGGGATCCTGTTAATGCAAGTCTTCCTGCAGGTGATACTGAAAATGCAGTGTGACTGCTACCCCTTTCTTTAAGTGCCTTTGTGCTCTACCAGCCCCAAATTGCTAGGCAGCACTTCTAGGACAAGCCAGTGCAGTACTCCCAACATGCTCGGTTAAGAGTGACAAGGAAAGACAAGCCAGTTGTCAAACAATATAGAATTCCAATCTGGTTGCCACAGTTCAAGGTTTTCAAGTACTATATTACTAAAATGTGAAAAATTCCTGTTTTAAAAACAATCTGATTTATCGTAGACTTATGTACACTTCGTCCTGATGTGCTGCTCCATTTCAGCATGTATCTCCCATCACCCAACTGCCTGGCAGCACCAGCCCTATATCTTCACTCCAGAATTGTAATTACAGCTGGTTACTTGATTTCTGTAAACTCTGAGTAAACTGTTATATAAACCACAGCACTGAAAGTTCAAACTCTAAATAAAATCATGGAAAGCAATGTTTTTGTTTCAGTCAAAATAATCCTCTATGTCAACATTTGGATTTAGGAGATCTTCCCCATATGCTGAAAGATCCATCTGATTTAAAATCAAGTTTTCAAAGGTTTCTTCTAAATCAGTTTCACCAATCAATACAGCTCCCATCATTCGTCCATTCTGCATCACCACTTTGATGTATTCTTGCCCTTTGGTACACCTCAACATTAGTTCACAGTCTAAATCCAAACCCTGAGCATTGTACTTTCCCAAAAGCACCACCTAGAGATGGGGAGAAAAATTAAGATATTACAAGAGGAACACAATGATTCAGAATCTTCTCTTTGCTGCAAACTTCAAAAGGGTTTATGTTAATGGGAAACTCTACTCTCAGATGTGTGCAAACAACTCTCACTGGCTTACAGACAGCATGATCTGGAACAGAGAACTGGGTGTCAAGAGACCTGGGTTCTATTCCTCACTCTGACACCACATCACTATATCACCTTGGGGCAGTCTGCTATCGCCCTGTGATTTAATTTCCTTCTCCGTAAGAGCAATAAATTACTTAACTTTAAAAAGCACTTTAAGATTTGACCACAGTGGGAACTGCAGTGTGTATATTTTATAGTAGAATGATTTCACAGAAGTTACAAAATGGGTGATTATGAACCAGATGACAAAATAAGATATATTTAATCATCTTTGGAAAACTGAATTTGCATCTCTTTTCGATCTCAGATTAAACAAGTTTGGTGAGCTAAATCTCATCTCCATGGATATTTTTCCACAACACACAGACTATCGTTTTGACACATAGCGACAATCTACTTTAAAAAGTTGCCATTGGAACACAACTGATTTCAAGAGTTGGGGTTAGGTGTAATCATCCATTGAGATGCAAAGCATTTAATGAACCAACCACCATGTTGAGTGGGCAGTGAATATAACCACAGAATGCACCATAAGGATATAGCTAGAAATGTGTGTCAAAGATGGAGGATAAGTTCACTGACATAAGCTGAGTTGTGTTTGTAGGCCCTCTATTCAGTTCTAGTGTTTAGCCTTCAAGGTTAGCATCAATACAAAAACAATGAATGAAACATTAACAGAATGTTTTATGCAGTATACAATCAGTGTCTGTCAATATTAGCCAACTAAGAAATCGTTTGAGTGGCAAGATGGTTTGATCAAGTCAACAGATGCCAATACCAACTAATCAGTGCTTTTAAACTAACTGTGTCAGAATTAGTTTACTTACCTTATAATTGAAAAATTTTGTAACATGAGCAAAGAGTTCAAAACTGAAGTCCATGTCAATAGATTCCCCCAAAGAATCTGCTACCATGCACTTTGCTGCATACCATCCCATCTGCCTAGCTTGGGTCCAAAGCCTCATCTAAAAAAAACCACAAGGTTAATAGACATGCTATGTGTAATGAACATATCAGTTCACATATTGTATATACTCAGTAGCCCCACCCATCTAGAGATGAGGAGTGACTTGGTGTTCAGAAACAAACTATAGGTGCGTTGATACCAGGTAGAATCATCACACTCTATTGAGATTTACTACTTGAATTAGCCTCATATGTACATACATTAGATGTACAAAAATTACTGTGCTATTTAGCCTTTGGATTAGAGCGCATATAAATTTATTCACCTGCTGCCACACTGGACTAGGTTCCCACGATGCAGTGCAGATATCCCCTGCTGCATAGATATCTGCTACTGAAGAGTGCATATGTTTATCCACTTTCAGACCGCCATCTTCACCTAGAGCAAACTAAGTATTTGTATGGATCAGTACTGAAGAAAAACTACCTATCAAAAGCCATTTAATTGGAATGCCCCAGGAGATTTAAATTCATCCTGGTTAAGTGCCCATCTTATTTACATAGTATTTGTCTTAAAGCTGTCCATCATTTCACATGTCTCTGCCACATTAAGCAACTCCATTCAACCAAAACATGCAATTTTAAAACCACATTGGCATCTCTTATCCAACAGGGCAGTTCCCTGGCTACTATTGGGCAATACAGGCTAATGTTATTAGTAGGGCTGTCAAGCGATTAAAAAAAAATTAATCACGATTAATCGTACAATTAATAGCGCTGTTAAACAATAGAATACCATTTGAAATATTTTTGGATGTTTACATTTTCAAATATATTAATTTCAATTACAACACAGAATACAAAGTGTACAGTGCTCACGTTATATTTATTTTTGATTACAAATATTTGCATTGTAAAAAACAAAAAAATGTATTTTTCAATTCACCTCATACAAGTACTGTAAGGCAATCTCTATCATGAAAGTTGAACTTACAAATGTAGAATTATGTAAAAAAACTGCACTCAAAAATAAAACAAATGTAAAACTTTAGCACCTACAAGTCCACTCAGTCCTACTTCTTGATCAGCCAATTACTCACACAAACAAGATTGGTTACAATTTGCAGGAGATAATGCTGCCAGCTTCTTGCTTACAATGTCACCTGAAAATGAGAACAGGCGTTCGCATTGCACAGTTGTAGCTGGCGTTGCAAGATATTTACGTGCCAGATGTGCTAAAGATTCATACGTCCCTTCATGCACCATTCCAGAGGACATGCTTCCATGCTGATGACGGGTTCTACTTGATAACGATCCAAAGCAGTGTGGACTGACGCATGTTCATTTTCATCATCTGAGTCAGATGTCACCAGCAGAACGCTGATTTTCTTTTTTGGTGGTTTGGGTTCTGTAGTTTCCGCATCCGAGTGTTGCTCTTTTAAGACTTCTAAAAGCATGCTCCACACCTCGTCCCTCTCAAATTTTGGATAGCACTTCAGTCTTAAATTTTGGGTGGAGTGCTGTAGCTATTTTTAGAAATCTCACATTTGACAAAATGCAAAGAAGGTACCAATCTGCTGTGAAAGTGTTCTTAAAATGAACTTGTGCTGGGTCATCATCTGAGACTGCTATAACATGAAATATATGCAGAATGCGGGTAAAACAGAGCAGGAGACATACAATTCTCTCCCCCCCACACCCCCACGGAGTACAGTCACAAATTTAATTGATGTATTATTTTTTTAACGAGCATCATCAGCATGGAAGCATGTCTTCTGGAATGGTGGTCGAAGCATGAAGAGCCATATGAATGTTTAGCATATATGGCAGGTAAATACCTTGCAACGCCGGCTACAAAAGTGCCATGCAAATGCCTGTTCTCACTTTCAGGTGACATTGGAAATAAGAACCAGGCAGCAATATCTCCCATCAATGTAAACAAACTGGTTTGTCCGCGATTGGCAGAATAAGAAGTAGGACTGAATGGTCTTGTAGGCTCTAAAGTTTTACACTGTTTTGTTTTTGAGTGCAGTTATGTAACCAAAAAAATCTGCATTTGTAAGTTAAACTTTCACGATAAAGAGATTGCACTTCAGTACCTGTATGAGGTCATTTAAAAATACTATTTCTTTTATCATTTTTACAGTGCAAATACTTGTAACCAAAAATAATAATATAAAGTGAGCACTGTGCACTTTGTATTCTGTGTTGTAATTGAAATCAATATTGAAAATATAGAAAAACACCCACAAATATTTAATATATTTCAATTGGTATTCTGTTATAAGTGCGATTAATTGTGATTAAATTTTTGAATCGTGATTAATTTTTCCGAGTTAATCACGTGTTAATGCGATTAATTGACAGCCAACTAGTCAGATTTGTGACCTTTAGCCCTGCTTCTAATAGGACTCCTTATAATTGTCAGGAGAAGAAACCATCATCACAAAGCAGCTTGTAAATTGAAACTGTCTTGTTAAAACAGAAAACACATTCATTTTAGTTGAATAAAATAGGTTCCCGGAGGCAGGCCACATTAAAGCAGCTTTTCCAACAATGTATGTCCTGGTTAAACATCTTTGGCTGAGCTAATAAAACACTTCTCCATATTATATTCAAGAGCTAAATGTAATTTCTCAATACCACTCAATTTTATCATTCAAACATAAAGAGACACTCAAAATGGCAAAAATAAATTAGTTAAAACATGTGGTGTGACTTCTTTTAGAGGCTGCTTATTCTTTCCCTACCCTGTACTGTAAGTCAGCCTTCATTCCTGAGTAAGTCCACACTATTCTGCTGCAGTCTCATTTATTTTATTTAGTTTATGTACAGCAGCATCCCATTTGGATATAATGGACTAAATTAATCCCTTCTGTAAATTTACCAACTAAATTAATTTAATCTGGCCCAATATCAAAACCTGATGCTATTGGCTATGGCAGCTCCCTTTTCTGTGGCTTCACCAAGATCAAACATGTTCAGCATGCTGCTTCCCACTTTTCTACACATACAAAGAAGGGCTATCACACCACCCCCATCCTCAAACTACTTCTGTGGCTCTGCATTCATTTCAGAATCCAGTTCAAATTGTTGACTATGCTTTTTAAAAGCCTTATGTAGTCTTGTTCCAGCCTTCCTCATGCTCTTCTCTTTCCACTTCCCTGCTACCTCCTTTTGCTTGATCAGCAGCAGACATCTTGTCCCTTTTCCCAAAATCACCCAATGGCAGTTTCTCACAGAGAAAGGCTCCATATTATTTAGGGATTTATACCTATAGGTCAAAATCCAACACCTCAAATTCAATCCAAAACAGGCAATCAGTATAGACTACAGATGTAATGTGCTCTGTTGGAATATCTGTTTAATAAGCAGCTGGGCATATTCAATATAAACTGAATTTTCACAGTAGTTTTAAATTGTAGTCCACAGAGAGCACATTAATATGTGCTGTTCATATTCACATAAAAACTATTAGAACACAGTTTAAAATGGAGATCAGTGCTGTGATTTACAAGTGATCTGCACATATTTTTCTTTTAAAATGAGCTAACTCCAAAATCCATATGTAGCATTGATAAGACGGTCACTGGTACTTCTGTGATTCTAAACTTATTTTAACTTAAGATTGCCTGAAGTGGAAGTCAGCCAGATTACACTCCATTGTAACACATCAGCATATATTAATTCCTTGGTGTTACAGATAGCATAGAACTCTAAGGGAGCATGAAGTGTTGTTTTTAGTACATGGCGTATCTTTGCAAGGGTTTTTTTTTGTTTTTTTTTTTAATTTATTGATATCCCATAGGGATGTAACAAAGGAGTATGAGTGACTTCACACATGTAGCAATAATTCACAATTTACATTTCATACCTCAATACCGAACACTAGGTAAGAAACAAAGATGTTTTTGTAATATCAGCTGTATGTTTTCCTCAGGGACTGGTGTTTTACCAATACCGTAAAGTACGAAAAAACAAAAAACACTCTTAACATAGATATAAGTATGGGAAGCAGCATGATGATCTCATGGTCTCAACATGCGACTGTGACCTAGAAATTCTCAAATTTTAATACCAGCTTTGATATTGATTTGGTCTAATTATAAGAGCCCATAACTCTACAGAAATTCATCTTTTACTATATTAGGAATTTCTAGTGTAGTCAATTTCATAGCATTTACCTCATTTTAAATTTGTTTGCAACATGCAAAATCCTTACCTTTCAACATTTTATCTTAGGAAATGTAACATAAAATAGCTACCAAAGTATATTTTCTTTTGTTTTAAAGTTAAAACCAACTTTAATTTAAAAAGAAGAAAGTCAGTAGTTATATTTAATAATGACCCTTACATTATTACCATCAAGAAATGGCTTAACATTTGGCACAACTCCAGTTGCACTGACAATGAAATCACAGCCATATATCTTCCCATTGGTTAATTCCATATATACAGGCCACAGCTCTGAAAAAGTGAAAATTCTAACCTGAGAACACAACCAATGCATGTTATTATTTTAATAAGACATGAAATACACACGGAATAAGAATTAGTTGCAAACAACCTGCCTTATTATTATTCGAGGCAAAAATAATTCTCACAATTTGCCCACCACTTTTCTTATTTTAATCATAGGCCTAGGAGCCTAGACACCAAAGATCAAATCCTCGTTCTGACATTAACTCCTTTTTGGATTTACCCTGCCTCAGTTTCCCCATTTGTAAAATAGAAATACTACTACTTGCCACTGCTCCCACCTCACTGGGGTATTCTGTGGATTATATTATGTTTGTAATGTACTATGAAGATATAAAGTCTTATATAAATGCTAAGTATTATTAAATCTATACATGTAATACCCAGAAAATGCTTTACTGAATTAATGCACTAACATTTTAAGATTACTACATTTTAAGAGACCAGCAGGTATAGAGGAGTACAAGATTCGGACAGAGATATCCCTTAGGGAGAATTTATTAAAGGGAATACTCTATATCCTAGTAAAAAGGAGAGGATAGAAGATGATAAAGTACAGGTAGGAACTGAAGAGAAACAGTCAAATGGAAAAGAATCCCATTTAATTACATCATATGAAGGCAGACAACTAAATATTGAAAAATTTTATAAGTGCTTGTATACAAATGCTAGAGGTCTAAATACTAAGATGGGTGAACTTAAGTGCCTCATATTAAATGAGGATATTGATATAAAAGGCATCACAAAAACTTGGAGGAACAATGGTAATCAACGGGACATGGTAATATCAGGATACAAAATATATAAGAACGAGAGTAGATTGTGCTGGTGCAGGAAGGGCACTAAATGCGAAAGAAAGCATAGAGTCAAATATAGTAAAAATCTTAAATGAATCAAACTGTACCATAGAATCTCTATGGACAGAAATTCCATGCTTGAATAGTAAGAGTTTTGCACTAGGAATATACGACTGACCACCTGACCAGTATGGTGACAGTCACTGTGAAATGCTCAGGGAGATTAGAGGGGCTACAAGAACAGAAAACCCAATGATGGAGGATTTCAACTCTCCCCAGATTGACTGGGAACATGTCACCTCAGGACAGGGTACAGAGATAACATTTTTAGACACCATTAATGATTGTTTCTTGGAGCAGCTAGAACCCACAAGGGAAGAGGCAATACTTGACTCGGTCCTAAGAGGAGCACTGGTCCAAAAGGTGAATATAGCTGAACCACTTGTTGTTAACAACCATAATGTAATTAAATTTAACATCCTTCTAAAGGGGAAAATACCAAAGAAATCCACCACAATAGCATTTAACTTCACAGAGGGGAACTACCCAAAAATGAGGAAGTTAGCTGAATGGAAATTAGAAGGAACAGTCACAAGAGCGAAAGACCTGCAAGCTGAACTGAAACGATTTAAAAATAACGTAATAGAGGCTCAAAATAAATGTCAAATTTAAAAAAAAAAAAAAAAAAAGAGGGAAAAAAAATGCTACCATGGCTAAACAACAGAGTAAAAGAGATGGTTAGAGGCAAAAAGGCATCCTTTATAAACTGAAGTCAAATCCTACTGAGGAAAACAGAAAGGAGCATAAACTCTGGCAAGTAAAGTGTACAATTATAATTAGGCGCCCTAAAATAATTTGAAGAGCAACTTGCAAAGGACACAAAAATTAACAGCAATTTTTTAAAAGTATATCAAAACAATCAGTGGGCTCACTAGACGATCAAGGAAGACAAGGCAATTGCAGAGAAGCTAAATTAATTCTTTGCATTGGTCTTCACTGCAGAGGATGTGAGGGAGAGTCTCACATCTGAGCCATTCTTTTTAGGTGACAAATCTGAGGAACTGTCCCAGACTGAGAGGTTTCAACAGAGGAGATTTTGGAACAAATTAATAAATTAAACAGTAACAAGTCAGGAGTAGATGGTATTCACCCAAGAGTTCTGAAGGAACTCAAACGTGAAATTCCAGAACTACTAACTGTCACCTACAGCTTAAATCAGCCTCTGTACCAGATAAGTGGAGGATAGTTAATGGAATGCCAGACAAATTGTTTGAAACTTTAGCAAAGAACAGAATTATCAGACACATAGATTAACATATGTTGGGGAAGAGTCAATATGGCTAAAGGAAAATCATGCCTCATCAATCTATTAGAATTCTTTGAGGGTGTCAAGAAATGTGGACAAGGGTAATCCAACTGATATGGTGTTCTTGGACCTTCAGAAAGCTTTTGACCAAATCTGACACCAAAGCCTGTTAAGCAAACTAAGCATTCATGGGATAAAAAGAGAAGGTGCTCTCGTGGATCAGTAACTGGTTGAAAGATAGGAAACAAAGGGTAGGAACAACTGATCATTTTTCATATTGGGCCCCTGCTATTTACCACTTTCCAAAGGGATCTGTATTGAAACCTGTGCTGTTCTACATATTCATAAATGATATAGAAAGCGGGGTACACAGTGTGGTAGCAAGGTTTGCTGATGATACAAAATTACTCAAGATAATTAAGTCCAAAGCTGACTGTGAAGAGTTACGAAACAATCTCACAAAACTGGGTGACTGGGAAACAAAATGGCAGATGTAATTCAAAGTCGATAAGTGCAAAGTAATGCACATTGGAAAACACAATCCCAATTATATATACAAAATGGTGGGTTTTAACTTAGCTATTACTCTCAAGAAAGAGCTCTTGCAGTCATCATGGATATCTCTCTGAAAACATCCACTTAATGTGCCACAACAGTCAAAAAAGGTTAACAGAATGTTAAGAACCATTAGGAAAGGGGCAGATAGTAAGGCAGCAAATATCATAATGCCACTATATAAATCTATGGTATGCCCACATACCGAATACTGCGTACACTTCTGGTCACTCCATCTCAAAAAAGATATAGAACAATTAGAAAAGGTACAGAGAAGGGCAACAAAAATGACTGAAAATGTATGAAACAGCTTCCACATAAGGATATATTAAAAAGACTGGGACTGTTCAGCTCAGAAAAGAGAAGGCTAGGGGGGGATATGATAGAGGTCTATGAAATCATGACTGGTGTGGAGAAAGTGAAAAAGGAAGTGTTATTTACTCCTTTGCATAACACAAGAACCAGGGGTCTCCCAATGAAATTAATAGGCAGCAGTTTTAAAAGAAACGTAAGCAAGTACTTCTTCACACATCAGAGCCCCTCAATCTGTGGTACCCATTGCCAGGGGATGTTGTGAAGGCCAAAAGTATAATTGGATTAAAAAATAATTAGGTAAATTCACGGAGGATAGGTCCATCAATAGCTATTAGCCAAAATGGTCAGGGATGCAACCCTATGCTCTGGGTGTCCCTAAACCACTGATTACCAGAAGCTGGGACTGGATGTCAGGATGGATCACTCCCTAATTGCCCTGTTCTGTTCACTCCCTCTGAAGCATCTAACCACTATCAGAAGATAGGATGCTGGGCTAGATGGACCATTGATTTAATTTAGTATGACTATTCTTACATTCTTATGAAATTCTAATAGGAATCGTCTGTATAGGATCAAAAGTTGAAGCTGGAAACAAGGTGGTCTTAGTCAATTCCCCTACCATCTCAGGATTATCCCTTTCATATTCTCACAGGCGTTCAAATAAAGAACTTTTTCCCCCCTATTTTTACTGTGGTAAGAGGTATGTGCCTTTATCGGACTATCCCCATTATTAGCACAGTGTCCTGGTGATTCCAGCGGGCTTAAGTCTGGGCAACTTTATTTGTTGGTTTGGAGCCCATAGGTTAGATCCTCAGCTGGTATAAGTTTTCATAGCTTCACTGACTTAACAGAGCTATGCTAACTTACGGAAACAGATGATCTGCCCCCACCTATTTTATTTGCTTTGAAACAAATAATACAAATATATTGTACTTCTGCTATGCTTGCACCCTCAAGGAGGGTTTCAAATCAGTATCTGTATATTGTTTCTTCTATGATACTGACCTTCCTCCAGGTGTGCATTCTGGTTATCTGAATTATCTTTAGGAAAAGACAAAGAGGTCTTCTGCAGCTGCTTGAATTCTTGCTGAAGGTATATTTTCTTTATTTCACACAGGGTTTCAATGTGAACTTTGTGAGAAAACTAAGTAAGAAAACTGACAGTTACAAGATATACAACAATTAGCAATAACAATACTATTATACAGGATAGAAAACTTTCCCCTGAATTAAATATTAGTAAGATGAAAACGAATGTCCCAAATGTTGAAATCTGACACATTAGTTGAGTCCCTTTTGTTACTGCCCTTCATTATCAGTACTTACCTGCTTTCTCATCACCTCCTCTGTCACAGAGTTTTAACTAAAACAATCTTAATGTGCTAAAGACATTCTCAACTGACACTGAGTTGTCTAGAGAAGAGTGCAGATTTTTAAAAAATTGATAAATCTGAATTCAACTATCCTCTCTTTCAGGATTTCAATTCCATGATTTTTCACCATTTTGATTAAATGAACTGTGACTACCTCTTATGACAACATACATAGATTTGGATTTGTTGAGTTCCTTCCTTCTCTCTTATGTTTCATCCGCCACATTTCAACTTATTCCAGTTCTGAGCTCAATCTATGACTAATATTTGGGATCAGTCATGTTAGTCATGCAGATGTGCCATAGTTTTTCTGAATCATTTTATGATTCAATCCTTGCGCAATTCTCATTTTTTGATATTGATTACAGCAAACCAAACGTCCACAGACTGCACAGTACTATCACCACTCTCCAATCTGTCAAGTCTCTGAAACTTCCTTCAATTGCTTTTGTAAGTTTAGTGCCTCCCTGCATGTTATGTTTTGATCATACTCTTCCTCATGCTCAGTACAAATTTCAACAAATCACAGCTACATTTTGTTGACAACAGTGGTATCAAAGTGGAGGAAGTGTTGCCTTATATATCAAAAGTGTATACATTTGGACTGAGATTGAGATGGAAATAGGAGACAGACTTGTTAAAAGTATCTAGATAAGGATAAAAGGGCTAAAAAACCAAGGGTGATGTCATGGTAGGGGTCTACTACAGACCACCTAACCAGGAAGAAGAGGTGGATGAGGCTTTTTATAAACAACTAACAAAATCATCCAAGGCACAGGACTTGGTGGTCATGGGGGCCTTCAAACTACCGAGACATCTGCTGGGAAAATAAGACAGCAGAGTATGGATTAGCCAACAGGTTATTCGAATGTATTGGAGACAATTTTTTAATTCAGAAGATGGAGAAAGTTACTAGGGAAGAGGCTGCTCTAGATTTGCTTTTGACAAATAGGGAGGAACTGGTTGAGAATTTGAAAGTGGAAGGGAGCTTGGATGAAAGTGATCATGAAATGATAGAATTCATGATTCTAAGAGGGAAAACAGCACATTATAGATAATGGATTTCAAGAAGGCAGACGTTAGCAAACTCAGGGCGTTGGTAGGTAAGATCCCATGGGAAGCAAGTCTAAGGGGAAAAACAGTTCAAGTTAGTTGGCAGTTTTTCAAAAAGACGTTATTAGGGCACAAGAGCAAACTATCCCACTGCGCAGGAAAGACAGGAAGTATGACAAGAGACCACCCTGGCTTAACTAGGAGATCTTCAATAATCTGAAACTCAAAAAAAGAATCCTACAAAAAGTGGAAACTAGGTAAATTACAAAGGATGAATATAAACAAACATTAGCATGTAGGACAATATTAAGAAAGACCAAGGCACAAAACGAGATTAAACTACCTAGAGACATAAATGATAACAAGAAAACATTTTACAAATATATTAGAACAGCAGTTCTCAACCAGGGCTCCGCGGGCCCCTAGGGGGCCATGAGCAGGTTTGTCGGGGTCCGCCAAAATAAACCAGAGAGCAGGGCCAGCGTTAGACTCCCTGGGGCCCAGGGCAGAAAGCCGAATCCTGAGCCCCGCTGCTCTGGACTGAAGCCAAAGCCTGAGCAACTTAGCTTCGAGGGGTACCCTGTGGCATGAGGTCCTGGGAACGGATCTGCTTGTTACCCCTAACACTAGCCCTGGCTATTAATCTACTGAAAAACCGTTTCAGTGGCACAACATAGCATATTGGGTGGGAGCACTCAGAAGGAAAAAGGTTGAGAATCCCTGCATTACAAGCAAGAGGAAGACCAAGGACAGGAAAGACCACTTACTCAATGAGGGGGGAAAAACAATAACAAAAATTGTGGAAATGGCAGAAGTACTAAATGATTTTTTGTTTCAGTTTTCACCAAAAAGTTTAGTAGCAACTGGACATCTAACATTGAACGCCAGTGAAAATGAGATAGGATCAGAGACTAAATAGGGAAAGAACAAGTTAAAAATTACTTAGACACATTAGATGTCTTCAAGTCACCAGGGTCTGATGAAATACATCCTAGAATACTCAAGGAGCTGACTGAGGAGATATCTGAGCCATTAGCGATTATCTTTGAAAAGTCATGGAAGGCGAATGAGATTCCAGAGGACTGGAAAAAGGCAAATATAGTGCCAATTTATAAAAAAAGGGAATAAGAACAACCTGGGGAATTCTAGACCAGACAGCTAAACTTCAGTACCCGAAAAGACAGCGGTGCAAATATTAAGCAATCAATTTGCAAATATCTAGATGATAATAAGGTGGTAATTTACAGTCAGCATGAATTTGTCAAGAACAAATCATGTCAAACCAAGCTAATAGCTTTCTTTGACAAGGTACAAGCCTTGTGGATGAGGAGAAGCAGTAGATGTGGCATTCTTGACTTTAGTAAGGCTTTTGATACTGTCTTGCATGACCCTCTCATAAACAAACTAGGGAAATACAACCTACATGGAGCTACTATAAGGTGGGTGCATAACTGGTTGGAAAACTGTTCCCAGAGAGAGAGTAATTATCAGTGGATCATCATCAAGCTGGACAGGCATATCAAATGGAGTCCCACAGGGATCTGTTCTGAGTCCTGTTCTGTTCAATAGCTTCATCAGTGATTTAGATAATGGCAGAGAGAGTAAATTTATGACGTTTGCGGCCGATACCAAGCTGGGAGGGGTTTCAACTGTTTTGGAGGGTAGGATTAAAATTCAAAATGATCTGGACAAACTAGAAGTCTGAAGTAAACAGGATGAAATTCAATAAAGACAAATGCAAAGTATTCCACTTAGGAAGGAACAATCAGTTGCACGCATACAAAATGGAAAATGACTGTCTAAGAAGGAGTACTGTGGGAAGGGATCTGGGGATCATAGTGGATCACAAGCTAAATATGAGTCAACAGTGAAACACTTATTGAGAAAATAGCAAACATAATTCTGGGATGTATTAGCAGGAGTGTTGTAAGCAAGACACAAGAAGTAATTCTTCCGCTCTTCTCCATACTGATTAGGCCTCAACTGGACTATCATGTCCAGTTCTGGGCACCACATTTCAGGAAACATGTGCACAAACTGGAAAAAGTCCAGAGAAAAGCAACAAAAAATGACTAAAGGTCTAGAAAACATGACTTATGAAGGAAGATTGAAAAAACTAGGTCTGTTTAGTCTGGAGAAAAGATGACTGAGGGGGGACATGGTAACAGTTGTCAAGTACATAAAAACTTGTTATAAGGAAATGTGTTCTCATTAACCTCTGAGGACAGGACAAGAACTAATGGCCTTAAATTGCAGCAACGGCAGTTCAGGTTGGACATTAGGAAAAACTTCCTAACTGTCAGGGTGGTTAAACACTGGAATAAATTGCCTAGGGAGGTTGTGGAATCTCCATCATTGGAGATTTTTAAGAGCAGGTTAGACAAACACCTGTCAGGGATAGTCTAGATAATACTTAGTCCTGCCTTGGGTGCAGGGGAGTGGACTAGAAGACCTCTTGAGGTCCCTTCCAGTCCTACGATTCTATGATTATTTTGAGAGGCACCACAACAACTTTGATATGCCCATTCCTTTCTTTCTAATGTTTTAGAATAGTTAAAAATGTAACTCAAAATTGAAATTTGAGGCTAATATTTCTCATATAAAAATCTTGCAAATATATGTTATATTCAAATAAATACTTCAGAGTGACCAAAAAGTTCAAAAAATGAAAATCTGATAAAAACATAGAAATGTCCACTCAGTTGATTTTTGTTTGAAAAAAACAAATAAAAAAGGTCCTCACAACCCTGCTTCCAGGGGTTTTAAAAATTTATTCATATTATTTCATTAGAAAAAGAAATATCAATACCTGTAGTGATAAGTGACTGTTGTGCACTGTACCTTTGGGTGAGTTTCATTATCCTCTCTCTCTGAGATTAAAAACTTTATTTGAAGCAGCTGAAGTTAGAGAGTATGCAAATAGCTTTTGTTGCCCTTTATTAAAACTACAATCAGGCCCAATCCCACAGAAATGTGGAAACAAACATTTGAGCTTATATCTGAAGATGAAGGAGCAAAAGCACAGCAGTAGATCCAATTCTCCTCACATCAGTGAAAGTCAGAAGGAACTCTACTGAAGTTACTGGATTTACAAATGTAAATTTGGTGTAGGAGGAGAATCAGTTCATGTGCATTCTGGTTTTATTCCTAGAAACACTGTGTGGCACTGTACTGCCAGTGCATTCCCACATACTTAAACTAGCATCTAAACAAATATAGTTAGGATGATGTCAGCCTTACCTCTTTAGTTCCTTTAAGATGTAGGCCCTCATGCCAATCAGGGCCTAAGGCACTGCCAAGTTTGTCAGCTGCTGCCACACTTCCCTCTTCCTTCTCGCTTCCTGAAGTCAAGGATGTGGAGAATATCAGACTCAACATGTACACAATGTAAAGACCTTATACACTATTATACAATCCTCACAACTCCAAAGGATTCTGAACTAAGAGAGTAGTGCGACCTTGTGGTGGGAAAGGAGGATAACAATGTGCTGGAGTCAAAACACTTCACTACTTCTAGAACACATCATACTTCAGGATTGTAATCTTATTATTTGATATTCTTAAGAACACCTTTCACCCCTTAGCCACCACTCACATGCAACCAGATATAGAGTAAAAAGTAACTGTGGTGTGAAAGCACACAGCTACAGTACAACAGATTAAAGGAGCTGTTCCAGCAGACCCTTACTCACATGAATCAATGGGGCTACTCATGTGAACAGAGAACTGCAGCCCCTCACTGTAACACAGAAAAAATATTAATATCTAAATTAAAACAGATGGGGGAATTTTAAAAAGCATCTAGCGTAATGAGATCTTTAATGACCACAATAAGCTAGAAATCTTAGTTTTGTGCCTTATCCAAAAGAAATTGTATCGAGCAGTAGCATCTCCTAGCACTCTGCAGGGGCATTAGTTCAGTACTGACTAAGAGGGTAGAGTGCTTCCAATTACCAGTATTACTTCCTGCAGCACTTGGCCAATTATATAATATGCAACATCATCAGATAGAGACAGAGATACATGCCTACATACCAGTATATAAATTAAATAATCTTTACAGAACAATATTACACAAACATTTTAGCAGTATAATAATTAAAATCCTTTTTATGTTTGTTTTTGTAAAGAGGGAATGCTATTTTGAACAGTGAAGCTTTTCTGAACATTGCTAATTCAGCTGATCTCAGGTTTACGTATGATTTTGGATGTTGCTTTAAATTCAAGTGCCAACTAATATGCTAGTACACTAAAGCAAGGAGTGTATTTTACTGTTTGCACAGTACCGTCTGTCGTATATTTGGTTCTTTTACATGCAATTGCAGTCTCTAATTTCTCAGCAGTTAGCTTTGGAATAAGGAATTCAGCTGCTCCCGCATCAAAGAAAGTATTCCCAATGGCTTTGTCTTTGATGGCCCAAATTACTTCACATCCTTCAATTTCATACCTGGAAAGCACATTTCAACAATGGATAAAATTATGGGTTGCCACAGAGGAAATCTTTGTTTATGAGTGATCTAGATCAGCGGTTCTCAAACTTTAGCAACCGGAGGCCCCCCATTTCGATTTAAAAATGTTTGGGGACCCCCTTTGCCCTGCCCCTTCACCGAGGCCCCACCTCTTCTCCAAGCCCCTGCCCTCCACTCGCTCCATCCCCCCTTCCTCTGTTGCTTGCTCTCCCCCACCCTCACTCGCTTTCACCAGGCCATGACAGGGAGTTGGGATGTGGAAAGGGGGTGAGAGCTCTGGCTGGGGGTGGGACTGGGGATAAGGGGTTTGGAGTGCGGGAGGAGACTCCGGGCTGAGGGCTCCGAGAGGGAGTTTGGGTCCAGGAGGGGACTCTGGGCTGGGGCAGAGGTGGCGGGGGGGGGGGGGGTGGGGAGGAGTGCGGGGTCCCGGTAGCGTTTACTGTGGCTCCCAGGAAGCAGCCACCAGGTTCCTATGGCCCCTAGGCAGATGCGTGGCCAGTAAGGCTCTGTGCGTTGCCCTCGGACCTGCAGACGCCACCCCCACAGCTGCCATTGGTCACGGTTCCTGGCCAATGGAAGCTGTGGAGCCAGCACTCAGACGGGGGCAGTGCACAGAGCCTCTCTGGCTGCCCCTGTGCCTCGGGTCAACAGGGAACTGGCGGCCACTTCCAGGAGCTGCACAGAACAAGGGCAGGTAGGGAGCCTGACTATGAGGGAGGGAGGGAGAGAGGGAGGGAAGGGGAGGAGTTGAGCAACGGGACCCACGGATCCCCTGGGTTGGAGTCTGCAGACCCCAGTTTGAGAAACGCTGATCTAGATTAAAGAAGGGCAGGGGCTTTCATTCCTAAACCTGGAAACAAAGTTAATGCCTCCCTGGTGAAAGAAGAAGTTCTGTGCATCCTATTTTCATGTCCTTTAGTACTGGTTATGGAGATTACATGTTATCCCCCTTTTTATGAGGCAAATCTACATATACGTATACAGTACTAAACGTCACTAATGGATCCAAGAACCTAGAGCATCATGACAAGACCCCCCTTCTCCCACAACCCGGTCACATCCACTACAGTACCTAAAGAAAGTCTTTGCCTGATGAGAGAAAAACCATAAGCAAGACTATCCTGGATCCTCCAATTTGGTGATCCCTGCAGCCTCCCCCACCACTTCAGCCTCAATTCAGAGTAGGGGGCAAGAATCCCTCCAGCACATTATCCTCATTCCAACACCAATCCTGGTATTAAAAGGACTTCAGAGGAAGGTGTAAGAACCACACAGTAGGCAGATCTGCTCCATACTCCCACATTAGGTCTCATTCTAATCTCTAGTAGTTAGAGAATAGCTTAAACCCTAAAGCACAAGCTTTAACATCCCTTTCAATTATTTTTACATTAGTTTAACTCCGGATGTTATCCATATAAATGTCTAATCCCTTTTTGAATCTTGCTGAATTTTTGGCCTCAATGATTTTCTGTGATAATGAGTTCCACAGTCCAATTATATGTTGTGTGAAAGTATTTCCTTTTATCAATACCCTTACTAAATATAAACAAACACTAATTATAATTTTATTATAAAGCTTTTTTAAAAAAATCTTAAGATAACACACACTTGGATAGCCCAGTTGTTCTAGTCTTTATTTGCACACATTTCTCAATAACTTAAGAAAATAATTTACTTACACTAATTCGAGTGCAATGCCACCATTTCCCACAACTGCTATTCTTTTAGCTTTAGCCAAATGATTCTGAAAGACCTATATTGAGAAAAAAGGACAGCTTACAGTCTTTTAGTCACTCAAACTTGATCAATTTACATAATTTAATATTTCTCAAATTCTCAAATGTATAATTTTAATAATTATTATATTAATGATTATGAATGATATACATCTAATTATGTTAAGGCATTTTATTGAAGTTAATTAAGACACTATAGCTCTGTTAGGATGTCACAGTGTGCCTTTACTATATTGCTTTTATAGATAAATAAACTGAGGAGGGGAAAGGTAAATGATTTAGTTAAGACTAAATGGCAGAGCTTGTAATGGAATCCAGGAGTCTCTCCCTTGTCCTAACCACTAAAGCACATTTCTTCCCATATTTTATAATGTATTTAAAAGCCAACATTGAAATCATGTTCTGTTTGAGACCAATTTTATTTCTCTCAATATCTTGTAAAAAGTCAAAATGGACCAGGATAAGGAGACTGTTTTGCATTTATAACATTGATTTAACAGTAAGGTTCTTAGATTTGCCACAGACAGTTTTGTTTGCCTGGAAAAGATTTTGAAAAAGAAAATTTAATTAAGTCCTTGAATTACATAACTTATAATGAACAAGAGATGCTGCTATTCAGAAAACAAAAAATACAAAACAGTATTTTGTAACATATCATCCCCACTTGGGACACTATATTTTAAACAAAAATCTGCATCCACTGGGACTGAATAGCTCATTGCACAGAAAGCCATTACATTTTAAACTGTTTATTTGAATCTGGTCCAGATCAGCGGTGACCAAGAGTCATGACAATCTGGCTAAAAAATGTACGGTGTAGCCATATCTATACTGTAGTAAGCAAGAAAATATGGGGAAGCTTGCTCCCTATTTTCAATCTGGCACCTGTCACCAGCACAAAATAAACTACTATTTTGCTTATTCTGAAGGTTCTCATGATGGGAACCCTCTCTATCCATTCATGAGCTGTTTTTGAAAATAAAGATCTTATTTTTTAAATAAGATAAATAAATTTTTAAATGGCATTTTAGAGCTGCTACTTTGCTTCTAAAAATGTATAACAATGGTTTCTATTATTTATTTCTGATATTAGAATAACATCTTGTTTATCCATTTCATTCCACAATAATTTTTACGCTATACTGTGACTAACCACATGTGCGTGGTTAGGATGCAAAATGTTAACATGTTTATGAACCATGAAAATATGTTACCTGAGCACTGTCAGTATCCCGGATTCCTAATACATATGGGTTTTCTTCAAAAATTAACTTAGGTTTTGCTCCTGCACATAGGCAAAGTTTTTCATATATACACTGTTTGCCATCTTCTGTGAAAATTTTCTGTTAAAAGATTAAAAAGGAAAACCATCTATATAGGTCAACTAAGAAAACCCAGGGTACACCTTAAAATCGGAGTATTTTGCTGGTATCAAAATCTGTAACCGGCTATGGGAAAAAGTAAAAAAAAACTAAGCAAGTCCTCTCTCTCTCTAACTGATTAAATATCTAGCAGTTTATACTACGCTCACGACAGTGCTATGTGAGTTCTTAAATCAGTAAAATGGAAACTACATATAGTAAACTCAATAAGATTACAAGACAAAATATAAAGCTTGCCTCTTGGTGGCATGCTGTATTTTCTTATGCTGTTGAGGGAAGAGTTTGTTTTGCACAGTGGACTGTTTTTTACTAGCTTGTATATCATGGCAAAACCTACACTGCTTTCCTTGTCCAAGTGCTATTTTTTATATTGGAGATTACTTCTGTATTTTATAGAATGGAAGTCTGTGACTAATTTACTTGCATGTACACAGAATTCTGTTGGGGGAGCCTGAGGTATAAATAGTTGCTTTTGCGGGTCTGTGTTCAAAATAATGTTTTTTTCCCCAGGTCTTTCAAAGAATATAAGTGCCATGGATGCAACTCTACATATTGCCACATCTGGTCAACCAAATGTCTGACCCAAAGTTCATTAAAGTCAATGGAAAGGGTACCACTGACTTCAACAGACACTGGATCAAATTCTAAAAGAGCAACATTGTTAGGTTCTGGAAGAAGCCACAACAAGCTGCAGCATAGAACATTTAAAATGCAACATTTTCTGAGCTTATTTGCTGTTCTCCACCTCAGAGACTGCTATATTACAATGGTTCTGTACATCTTGTAGAAAGCGTTGGGGTCCTTTGAGATGAAAGATGATGTACACATGCAATATGGCTGAGACTTTTGGGGGATTACCCAGACCTTAAAAGGATCCGTCACCACCTGCCTTGTAATCTTGAGTGCCTAAATGCTAAAATATATGGGCTCAGAGCCCTGACACTAATAGCCAGCCCACAAGCATAAAAGTCTCACCCTGGCTTCCATCTGCCTTATTACTCCTTGCAGGGTGACTATCAGCCCTTCCAATTCTCAGTTTCCACAAATCCGCCCACCCCAAGTTCTTAACTACCAGACACTCAGATATTTTCCCTCTAGTTCATCACCCCTGAAGGTGCGAAAACAGCCCCCATCCCCCCATTATCAGTTCATTTTAGCATATACACTCCAAACAATTTGCACACCAGAGAACTGGTTCTTGTAAAAATAAACAAAAAGTTTATATAATAGAAAAATCATAGATTCAAAGATGAAATAGTAAGGAAAAGCAAACACATACAAGTTACACAGAAAATAAACAAAAATACAACTTCTGGCTTTGCACTTCCATATTAGACAAACTCCTTTTTCTAAAAAAAATTACCTATTGCTTTTAAACAGTTTCTCACAGTGCTCCCTAACCCAAGCAGGGGGATCCAGCATTCACAGATAGATCCCTGTCTTTGACACTGTGCAAAGTCAAACGATCTGATAGTTAAGAACTCAGGAAGGATGGATTTGGGGAGACTCAGGACCAGAAGGGCTGTTGGGGTCACCCTATAAGGAGTAACTAGGCTGGTGAAAGCGACGGTGAGACCTTTATGCCTGTGGTCTGGCTACTGGTGTCAGGGCTCTGAGCTATAGCAGCATATCACAAAGGCCAACCAAGGTTACAGGGCAGGGGTTACCGAACCCATTACTGGCCTGAATGGTCCCCAAAATGTCACAATGGCCATCCCAGGGGACATCCCTAAAACAAAACCCACAACATCTTAATAAACCGCACACACAACAGTCTTAATAATGTATTATACCTGAGAACATACATCAGCCTAACAGATATAGAATACGAGTATACTACCTTACCCTAAGTACAGTGAATTAATTACTGGTATACCAGTTACATATAATAGAAGCAAAAACACAGACTTGACGCCAGTGTGGGTAAACAAATAATACTGAGGTGAAAAACAAAGCCTTCCAACTTTACTCTGTAAATAAGACACTGAACAAGAATTAGAGAGACTGTGTGTACTATATTTTTGCTGTAGAACGGAGAAAAAAGTGTAGGGGTTTATTTATTTTGTTCTCCTGAGAATTAAAAGTAGGTATTTATTATAAATTTATAAAGTCAATACTATTTTTGGTTTCTCTTTGGCAACAAACCAAAGTTACAGTTCACAGAGAGTGCCGATTAATGATTTAAGAATTTTTCAGGAATCTTAGTTCTACTATATCTGGCTTCATGATCAATCTCTTTGTTACGCTGCTCTAAAGATCCATGCAATATATTAGAGGAATCAGGAGTCTTGATCTAACCATCCTAACAACTGAATTTTTCTAATGAATTATGACCTGTGATTGCTTTTTACCCCATTGCCTACATTTCTTCTAAAAGGGCACTATAAGTGAACTGTGACATTTCTTTTCTGTTCTAAATCTTGGTAAATTAATTTAAATCATTAGAAATTCCATTTTAATAACATATTTCATGTGAAAAATGGATCCCCTCTTAAACCCATTCAATTTCAGGATCCCTAGAAAATTAGGCAAAACAAAAATTCTCTTACATGCTCCTGACTTTTCAACTCTTTCACTCCAGACTCTATAACTTTAATGTTGGGATACCGTTTTTCTAACATAGTGCTTGGTTGTTCTTCAACATCAAACTCCTCTAGTGTTTTGGAGACCTATAGTTTAAAGAGTGAGAGAGAGAGAGAGAAATCATTTATGTTTTAATTGTTTTTCTTCTTTTATTAAGTTTTCAATTTAGATTGGAAAATAGATGATGTTCATTCCCAGTTTGTAAACTTAAAGCATCAAACCCACAGCAAATTCTTTCAACCAAGTTAGAAAGTTGCTGTTAAAATTAAGCAATTAGGTACATAATCTGTTCATAAATATTCCTGAGAAAGGCTCTCAGTAGTACGTTACTACTCAAAATGGAACTTGGACTTCTAAATCCCTATCTTGAGAAATTTAAATTTACACTAGATGAAGCACCTGAGACTATATTTGCCCCTTGGAGGATTAACTAGACCAGTGGTTCCCAGCACAGTACCTGTGGGAACCATGGCGCCCGCCGGGGCCTTTTTGTGTGCCTGCAGGACACCCTGTTGCCGAAATGCTGCTGCCAAGCGCGCCCACCGGAGAACCGCCCACCAAAATGCCACCGAGAAGCATTGCTGTTTCTCGGTGGCATTTCGGCAGCAACGCTTCTTGCCGCTGCTGCTTCTCGGCAGCATTTCGGCAGCAGAGTGTGCGGCGCCCGCCACAGTCTTCTGGGAATAGCAATACGCTATTCCCACAAGAAAGGCTGGGGAACCATTGGACTAGACAATCAAACAGGTCTTTCCCATATCTAAGTTCTATTATTATAAGTGGGGCTGGTAGAACCGTCTATTATTAAGGTAGCCTTACGCTTTCCATTTAAGAGGTTTCCCCCTCCCCCGCTCTCCTGCTGGTAATAGTTCATCTTAAGTGATCACTCTCGTAATAGTGTGTACGGTAACACCCATTGTTTCATGTTCTCTGTGTATATAAATCTCCCCACTGTATTTTCCACTGAATGCATCCGATGAAGTGAGCTCACGAAAGCTTATGCTCAAATAAATCTGTTAGTCTCTAAGGTGCCACAAGTACTCCTTTTCTTTTTGCTAATACAGACTAACACGGCCGCTACTCTGAAACCTGTCATTTTAAGACTGTTTCCAGTTACTTATAACTTTGCAAAACTAAATTCATTTGGGCTGCAACAATCCATGCAGGGCCTTAGCCTAAATTTATTTGGAAAATTTTTAGCCAGTTCAGTTGTTTTTAAGAACAAGGCTAGAAAAAAAATATGCTGTTCTGCCCACATTAAAAAATTCTGGTGACCTTCTTTTTGAACAGATCTATGACCCCTATGCTGTGAGCAGGGACTTGAAATTCGGCAGGGGGTGGCCTTTGTGTCAGGGATATGCATTTTGCTGTGAAAACATGCCCAAATTTGGCCAAGTGATAAAAGTGAATGAAAAATCCCAGTTCATACATGTATTCAGGAGAGACTTCTTAGAGATCCACAGCTAAAATCTCTAAAGATTCCATCTTCACTAAGCATGCTTGAGTCTTTCACAGCTCCTAGCGCAGACTGGTCTAACATTCATGCCATCTCCACACAGCAACTGAGCATAATCCATTCTCTCATAGCTCCTACCTGTGACCAAACTCTGCATAATCTATTCCCACAAAGCAACTGAGTATGCTCCAGCCCAGGGCTAGGGGGTGAAGTCAGACTTTCCCTGTAATGACTGCTCCGAGCTGGGGTGCGCGGTCTCCTCTGTTAGCTTCTTCCTCCACGCTGCCCTGGTGCCATCTGATTCAAATGCAGAGGAGGCAAAAGCCAGACCAGGGGGTGGGAAAGTAGTAGATTGGGAAAGGAGTCTGGTGAGACTGTGCCTAGAAGAGCACAGGGGAGAGAAACTGAGACTGGCTGGGCACAGAGATGGTGACACGGAGCCAGGATGGGGGAATGGAGTCTGAGATTGGGAGCTCGAGAGCTTGAGAAGGAAGCTGGAATAGGTCGGACAAGCAGACTGGGACTGGGAGCCAGGGGGAGAGGGGGAAAAAGGGCAAGAGACTGAAACCATATGCATAAGCATTTGCAGAGTCAGGCCCTAAATTATCTCCACTGAGTAAATGCTTTAGTAACTTTTATAGACGCCTACACACAACAAAAATTACGACTCTCTTACCTGTCTGAAATTTGTTACTGCTTTTATAACTGGAGAAGCAGTTACTAAGACAATATCTTCTGATGGAAATTCTGTAGCCAGCTTGGAAAGAAAGAGAGAGCATGATGAGTGAACACAGCTGTCAGTGGAATCTGACTTTAAATAAGACAATAACAGTACAAAAAAACCCAAAAGTTATCATATTAAGGATTTTAGTCTTGTAAAACCCAGAGACGTAGGCAAATATTACCTCCATTTTACAGAAGGGTAAACTTAGCTTGGGTGATATAATGGAAGTGAACCTGACTCCCAGGTCCAGGGTTTTATTTATTTACAGACATTTCCATAAGACTCACATCATGGCATGAATGCCTAACCACAAGGCGATCCTTCATACCATCACACTAGCCAAATTGGGAGGTGTAAAGTCACACAAACTGAGATCTGAAGAGCCCGTATGCATGGAGTCCAATTATTAGTGGGCAGTGGTAACTCAGTTAAACACTTTTGACAGTAGAAAGAACGGTGAATACCTGGAATCTGAGTGAGTTTTATGAAAAATGGATTAATCTTTGGCTAATTATGGATTTTTTGATGTACTGGTTATATAATTAAGCTGTTTAAAAATTCATGTTTTGGTTATTTTTGCCAGGGAGAGCCTCACTGCCTTCTGTAGTCCCTCTAGCAGAAAGATACAATCACAGATCTGGTTTAAATTTCCATACATCATTGTTTCCGTAACACAGGGTCCAAGAATATGATCTTTGGGTAAGTGAAATGGCAAGTTTTTAAATTAAAGTACTTTAAAGTGGTAACAGCAAGTTTGTGCGTTCATCTGAAACACAGATTTTTAATTTGATGACAAAGCCTGTGCCGCAGCAAGAATGTGGCCTGTTACAAAGAGAGGGAGAGGCACATGGGCTTGCTTACGTTGGGGACAGTTCCCTTAGCAAGGAACCCTGATGTTCAGATCTCACCTCTTCTAAGTGCAGTATAAATTCTCATGCAATTCACTCCATTTATTATTGACTAAGGGCAGGTAGGGTTGAAAGGGATAATTTTAAATTGTTGGATGCTAAGTAATTTTATTTTAAAGATTACTACAATTATTTAGTTTCAAGAAATAAAAAATGGTGGGCCAACTCTTATTATTTGTTTCTCTTACTGTCAACTTAGCGGTGTGGCTCCCACTATTTAGTCACAGGTACGTTAAGGGCTCCATGAGCAAGACTAAGCAAAATAATCATGGTTATTAACCAGCGATATTTTAATATTAAAAAAAAGGAAATATTAAACACCACAAATGACCAAACACAAATGATAAACCGGTTACTTCCATTACAACTTCTTCTGTATGTCTCTTTGTAGAGAGCTTTTGACAGGAATCACACTTTTAAGAGTAAACAGCCTCTGGTGGATACTTTTGTCTTGGTAAGATAAGACTCAAGTATTTGGTTTCCCAAAATTATTGTGCATCCACTGTTTAGATACCTACGAACGTTTTATAATTTAGTCTCATGGAAGGTGGACTTGCTGGGTATTAATAAACAAACAACCAGTTTATAGTTCGCAAAGCAGGCAATCCTAACCACATCCTATGAAATAAGAAAAATTAAATCAATCAGAAAAAGCCAGTTAAGGAGCTGTCTTGAGACAGGCCAATTAACCAACATTAAGAATATTAAATCACACTATTTCTTGGGCCTTGTCTACACTACACAGTTTTGTTGACAAAAGTCAGATTTCATAGACAAAACACTGGCGGTATACATACTGAAATGCTCCTCCGGTGGATGCAACTCCCCTGCTATGCTGACCTAATAAAACCATCTCAACAAGCAACATAGAGCTTTTCTGCGATGTAGTTAGAGCAACACAGTGGCAGTGTAGACAACTTACTTGGTTATGTCACCCTAATCAGCCTCCAGAAAGTGTCCCACAATACCCATCATGACTGCTCTGGTCAGCAGTTTGAACTCTGCTGCCCTGAAGATACATAGATATGCACCCCTTCCCCATTTAAAGGCCCAGGAAATTTTGAAATTCCTCTTCCTGTTTGCTCGGCATGCACAGTTCAAACAGCTGACCATGCCAGCTTTACGCAACAGATGCGCACCCATGTGGAACACACTGGAGCTGTTCGATCTGCTGAATATATGGGGAGAGGAAGCTGTGCAGTCACAGCTTTGCACCAACTGTAGGAATTTCAATACCTACAGGCTGATTGCTATTGGCATGCAGGAGAAGGGGCACACAAGGGACACGCAGCAGCGTCATGCTAAAATCAAGGAGCTGAGACAGTCGTACCAGAAGGCAAGGGAGGCCAACCGTCGCTCTGGTGGAGGGCCAAAGATATGCTGCTTCTGTAAGGAGCTGCATGCCATCCTCAGCGGCGACCCCATCTCCACCGCCAAGAGCCCCATGGATACTTCGGGGGCACAGAGGCAGCGGCCAGCAGACTCAACTTCAGGGAGGAAGTGGTGGACGACGATGTGGAGCACAAGGCAGGGTCATCAAGTGGCCCAGTGAGTCAGCACCTCTTTTCCACTCTGGAAGGGTTTAGCTAATCCGAGCACTCTGGCTTTGGCGAGGATGCAGGAGAGGGGAGCTCTGGTAAGTACTCATTTTGCTTTCATACTGCATGGTGACAGGAGATTGATCTCTCATGTAGTTTGTTATATGGTAGAGGTGGGATAAGGAACAGAAATTAACAACAGAGCCTGTCCATCTACATAGTGGGGCCACAGCAGAAAAGTTTTTTCATGTACATGGGGATGTCTCTGGAATCCTCCATAGCGATCTCTAGAAAACTTTCCTGTAAGTACTCTGCAAGGTTCCTTGCCAGTGCTCCTTCGTTTCTACCCCCACTCTAGGAAACTTTGCAGCGCCACCCGACAACTATTTCTGCAGGAACCAGAGTGGCACACAGGCAAGCAGCATACAGAGCCGGTCTGAAACCACATGCATGCAGGAGATGCTCCCTTACATCCTGAATTACCACGAGGAGTTAGATATCGGGTTCAATTACCCTTGCCTGTGCAAAAGGGTACCAGTATTCGGAATAGGCTAACTAGCCGCTAATAGTAACCCCTTCGAAAAGCATCCTTTGTATTTTCTTGTCCTTTCCTCCCCTCCCACCGCGAACTCACCATAATTGGGACTCGCGGCCACCTGCGTGCTATCCAAAGGACAGTGAGAAAGAGGTGTGTGTAACTTTTGTGATTCACGTCTGTGAGCGCACTCACAATGCCATCTCTGTTCATTGTTTCTTTGCCTTCTGCACATGTGCCCTTAAGAACACACTCCTCCACACTGGCAGAGCACCTCCATCAGATAAGGCAACCCAGGAGGAATAAGGAGGATATGTTTCAAGAAGTGCTGCAATCAACAGATGTAGCACATAGTGAAACAATTAATGAAAGACTGAGGCTGGATAGCCAGGAAGGGACACAGGCAGGAGCAGATGATAAACCTCCTGGAGGACCAGACAGAGATGTTGAAGTCCCTCAGAGCAATCAGAGCAAAATCTGAGCAAATCCATGCCTGACTCCCCATCCAGCCTCTACAGAACTCTGGTCCTTGCCCTCCCGCAACTCCCCTACCACAGTTATTGCGTGTTTCCGGTCTCTCACAGTAACCTGTGCAAGCCATGCTTGGGGAATGGTTTTCCAATGAAAACTGGAATTACACCCAGCTATGAGAGCCCTAACCGCAAGACTGTTTTGATTTTTATGTTCCCTGTTTGTCCAAAAGTTTGTGTTTTATCCCGTTATTAAACTTGAGTCTTAATAAGATGAGTCTTTGTGACATATATACATCACTCAGTGCTAACACTGAAACCACAGAGGCTGTAGGTAGGAATATTTGCTCCTTGCAGTAAATGCTCCAGAAGCAAGCACTACCGGGGAAAGTAAACATTGCCTGGCTGCATGCATCACAGACAGACACATTACTAACAATCATTGTCAAAAGCTCCTTTAATACCTCCCTGATTTGAATAGCCTCCCGTTGCACCCTTCTGATTGCCCTTCTATCTGGCTGTTCAAAATCAGCAGCCAGTTGATCAGCCTCAGTGGCCCACCCCGGGGAAACTTTTTTCCCTTCAATTCACAATTATGGAGAGTACAGCAGGCCGCAATGACCATCAGAATATTTTCCTCATTGAGGTGTAACTGGAAAAAAGACAGCACCAGTGACCTTTTAATTGGCCAAAGGCACATGCAATGTTCATTCAGCACCTGCTAAGCCTATTGTTGAATTGCTCCTTGCTGCTGTCTAGGTTTTTGGTGTAAGGCTTCATGAGCCACGGGAGCAAGGGGTATGCAGGATGTCCAAGGATCACTATGGGCATTTGCATATTCCCCACTGGAACCTTCTGGTCTGGAAAGAAAGTCCCAGCATGCAGCTTTCTATATAGTCCAGTGTTCTGAAAGATGCATACATCATGCACTTTCCCTGACCACCCCGCACTGATGTCAGTGAAATGGCTCCGGTGATCCACCAGCACCACCAAGACCATGGAGAAGTAGCCCTTTTGGTGGATGTACTCTGTTGCAAGATGATCGGGGATATGTGTTCTATCTCCTCGCCGCAGTTAGGGAATCCCATTACCTCAAAACCACCAATTATTTCCTGGACATTATCAAAAGTCCCAGTCCTTCGTAGCAGGAGGCGATTAATGGCCCTGCACACTTGCATCAGTGCAGCCCCCACGGTGGACTTTCCAACTCCAAACTGATTCGCAGCTGATTGGTAGCAGTCTGGAGTTGCCAACTTCCAAACAGCAATCGCACTTGCTTTTCCGCAGTCAGAGCAACTCTCATTCTGGTGTTCTTGAGCTGTAGTGCTGGGGCGAGCTCCGCACACAGTTCCAGAAAGGTGACTTTGCGCATCCGAAAGTTGTGCGGCCACTGCTCGTCATCCCATACGTGCATCACAATGCGATCCTGCCACTCGGTACTTGTTTCCCAATCTGAATATCGATGGTCCATTGTGGCAAGCTGGTCTGTGAATGCCAGCAGCAATCTTGAATTATTTATTTCCATGGCAGACAGCAGGGCAAGCATCACCAGCTCACTCTGTTTCGCAGCTCATGAAATACTGCAGGACTAGCCGCATTGTGTTCATAACGCTCATCACTAGAATGATCAGCAGCTCAGGATCCATGCTGTCAGGCACAGATGGCAAGCACACAGTTTACAGGGCTGTTGAAAAATGGCACAAAATGAAGTAGGAAGTCCATGGAATGATGGGATGGAAAGAAATGCATCACAGGACGGCGAGCACATCACCATGATGCACAGTGATCCGTTCCCAGAGCTCCCAGCAGCAGAGGGTGACAAAGGATGGTGAGTTGCACAGTGCGATGGCTACCCACAATGCAAAGCTCTTTCTGTTGATGCAAGAGCAATGACTGAGGATGTGCTCAGCCATCACAAGGAGCGTTGTGTGGACATGCTCCACCGATGTTATTAAAGCATCTTACGATTGTAGACAAAACTTAAGTCAACTTAACTCTGCAGTGTAGATATGGCCTTGGTTTACCAATGTTTAGCCCCATCTTTTCTCCATTAATACATGGTCCAACCATTTTGTATTTATCAGGAGAAACTGTTAGTATTTTAAATAATAACAGCATTTCAATCTTCCAACAAAATCATTACAAGAATTGTGAATCTAATCCTTTGGCAAAGTCGTAGTTAACTTTGTCTCGTGAATTCATGCTGAAGTTTTGGGAAGGTTTTCCTTGGGTTGGTAGGTTTCTTCTTGAGTCTTCTCTATTTTTCTTGTTTGCATGTGGCACCTTGCTTGTGGAGATGGACAGGATGAGCTGTGGAATGATTGCTGTCTAACCAGACTAGCGGATGGAAGCATCTGAGGTGCTCACTTCAGAGTCTTTTATACCATTCACCTTCCTATTTTCAAGAAATTATAGGAAAACACATCTATTTCAGGCTCATTTAGACTCAACTTGCTTGCCATCACTCTTATTAGCTTTGTGAATTCAGAGCTGGCTTAAGTGGCATTTTCAGCTCCTGAATATGCACTGCTTAATAAATACATAACCTTTATTTAATTACAGGTTTCAGAGTAACAGCCGTGTTAGTCTGTATTCGCAAAAAGAAAAGGAGTACTTGTGGCACCTTAGAGACTAAGGTTAGTCTCTAAGGTGCCACAAGTACTCCTTTTCTTTTTATTTAATTGCCTTTGTTTTTCTTGTGGCAGGAAAGATCCAGATAACTTTTAAAGTTAAAACTAACTCCTGCTTTTTATTCAGCCCATTTTCTGAGATATTCTTTCAATTTTATTAGAGTTTCACAGGAAATGAAATTCTGTTTTCAAAAAGTCCAAACACTCCTGTTCTTTATACAAAAGTTTTTAGTTCTTAAAACAGTCTTTTACAATTAAATAACTCTTACAAATTCTTTTGCTTCAATAATTAAAAGATGTTGACTCTACATGACAATTTTTGGAGCAATGATTTTCTTGTCTTCTTGAGCGGGATGAGATTTTGCATGTACATTGCCAGGAATTAATTAATTCCCCATTAATATAAATATTTTATATGTAAATGGTCTCTTACATTAAAAGAGAAAGAATAAGTTAAGAATTACTTAGACAAGTTAGATGATTTCAAATCAGCAGATGATTTCAAATCTGACGAAATACATCTTAGAATACTTAAGAAACTATCTGAAGAGATCTCTGAGCCGTTAATGATTATGTCTGAGAACAGGACAGGAGAGATCCTAGAGGACTGGAAAAGGGCAAATATAGTACCTACCTATAAAAAGGGGAATAAGGACAACCCAGAGAATTACAGACCAGTCAGTTTAACTTTGGTACTCAGAAAGTTAATGAAGCAAATAATCAAAACAATCAGTTTGAAAGCAACTAGAAGATAATAAAAACATAAAAATGGTCATTCTGGATCAGACCAATGGACTATCTAGACCAGTATCCTGTCTTCTGACAGTGGTCACTGCCAGGTGCTTCAGAGGGAATGAAGCGAACAAGGCAATTGGCAAGTCTCATCCTGTCCCAGCTTCTGGAAGTCAGAGACTTAGGGTCACCCAGAGAATGGGGCTGCATCCCTGATCATCTTCCTAACAGCCATGGATGGACCTATCCTCCATGAACTCATCTATTTCTTTTTTGAACCCACCTACACTTTTGGCCTTCACATCTCCTGGCAACGAGTTCCACATACTGACTGTGTGTTGTATGCAAAAGTACTTCCTTGTGTTAGTTTTAAACCTGCTGCCTATTAATTTCATTGGGTGATGCCTTGTTCTTGTGTTATATGAAGCGTTAAATAACACTTCCTTTTTCATTTTCTCCACACCATTTGTGATTTTACATATCTATCTTATCTCCCTTAGTCATCTCTTTTCTAAGCTGAACAGTGCCAACCTTTCTACTCTCTCCCTATATGGAAGCTGTTCCATACCCCTAATCATTTTTATTGTCTTTCTCTGAACTTTTTCCAATTCTAATATCTTTCTGAGATGGGGAGATCAGAACTGCACACAGTATTCAAGGTGTGGCTGTACCATGGATTTATATAGTGGCATTATGATATTTTCTGTCTTATTTTCTAACCCTTTCCTCAGGGTAACTTTTTTTTTTTTTTTTAAACTGCTGCTGCACAATGAGCAGATGTTTTCAGAGAGGTGATAAGTAACAGTCAACCTGGATTTGTCAATAACAAATCATATCAAACCAACCTACTATCCTTTTTTGAGAAGGTAACAAGCCTTGCATATGGGAGAAAGCTGTAGATGTTTATATCTGAACTTTAGTAAGGCTTTTGATACTGTCTCACGTGATGTTCTGATAAACAAAGTAGGGAAATATAGCCTAGATAAACTTATAATAAGGTGGGTGCAGAACTGGTTGGAAAACCATACTCAGAAAGTAATAGTCAATGGTTCAGAGTCAAGCTGGAGGGGCATATAGAGTGGGGTCCTGTAGGGCCCTGTCGGGCCCTGTCCTAGATCCCACACTATTCAATATATTCATAAAATGATTTGGATAACGGCATAGAGGGTACACTTATAAAGTTTGTGTACGATACCAAGCTGGGAGGAGCTGCAAGTGCTTTTGAGGACAGGATTAGAATTTAAAATCATTTTGACAAACTGGAAAAAATTATCTGAAATAAACAGGATGAAATTTAGGAAGGTCAAATTCAAAGTACTACACTTAGACAGGAATAATCAACTGCACAAGTACAAAATAGGAAATGACTGGTAAGAGTACTGCAGAAAAGGATCTGGGGGCTACAGTAGATCATAAAATTAATATGAGTCAAAAATAAAAAACACTGTAGCAAAAAAAGCAAAATCATTTTGGGACACAAGTGTGGGGGCAGTATGAACAGCTGTGGGGGTGCACAGGCGAGGGAGACTGTGTGCACAGCTGTGTAGAGGGTGCACAGATGGGCTGTGCACAGATGGGTGGGAGGGTATGGATAACAGTGGGGGTTGCACAGATGCAGGAGGGCTGTATGCACATCTGTGGGTTTGCTCAGATGGGGTCTGCACACTGGTGACGGAGGATGTGTGCACGGCCGAGGCGGGTGCCCAGAGGAGAGAGGGGCTGCGTGCACGGCCGAGGCGGGTGCCCAGAGGAGAGAGGGGCTGCGTGCAGGTGAGAGGGGCCGTGTGTGCGGCTGAGGGGGTGCCCGGAGGAAGGGGGTGTAGAGGTGAGAGGGGCCGTGTGCACGGCCGAGGGGGTGCCCAGGGGAAGGGGCGCGTACAGGTGAGAGGGGCCGTGTGTGCGGCTGAGGGGGTGCCCGGAGGAAGAGGGATGTAGAGGTGAGAGGGGCCGCGTGCACGGTCGAGGGGGGTGCCCAGAGGAAGGGGCCTGTACAGGTGAGAGGGACTGTGTGCGCAGCCGAGGCGGGTGCCCAGGGGAAGGGGGGTGTAGAGCTGAGAGGGACTGTGTGCGCAGCCGAGGCGGGTGCCCAGGGGAAGGGGGGTGTAGAGCTGAGAGGGGCCGCGTGCACAGCCAAGGAGGGTGCCCAGGGGAAGGGGGGTGTAGAGGTGAGAGGGGCCGTGTGCACGGCTGAGGGGGGTGCCCAGGGGAAGGGGGGGTGTAGAGATGAGAGGGGTTGTGTGCACGGCCGAGAGGGGTGCCCAGAGGAAGGGGCGTGTACAAGTGAGAGGGGCTGTGTGTGCGGCTGAGGGGGTGCCCAGAGGAAGGGGGTGTAGAGGTGAGAGGGGCCGTGTGCAGTGAGGCGGGTGCCAGGGGGAGGGGGATGTAGAATTGAGAGGGGCCGCTGCACGGGAGGGGGTGCAGGGGAAGGGGGTGTAAAGGTGAGAGGGGTTGTGTGCACGAGAGGGGTGCCCAGAGGAAGGGCGTGTACAAGTGAGAGGGGCTGTGTGTGCGGCTGAGGGGGTGCCCAGAGGAAGGGGGTGTAGAGGTGAGAGGGGCCGTGTGCACGGCTGAGGCGGGTGCCAGGGGGAGGGGGGTGTAGAATTGAGAGGGGCCGCGTGCACGGCCGAGGGGGGTGCCCAGGGGAAGGGGGGTGTAAAGGTGAGAGGGGTTGTGTGCACGGCCGAGAGGGGTGCCCAGAGGAAGGGGCGTGTACAAGTGAGAGGGGCTGTGTGTGCGGCTGAGGGGGTGCCCAGAGGAAGGGGGTGTAGAGGTGAGAGGGGCCGTGTGCACGGCTGAGGCGGGTGCCAGGGGGAAGGGGGTGTAGAATTGAGAGGGGCCGCGTGCACGGCCGAGGGGGGTGCCCAGGGGAAGGGGGGTGTACAGGTGAGAGGGGCTGCGTGCACAGCCGAGGGGGTTTCACAAAGGAAGGAGGGTGCAGTGGAGAGAGGGGTTGCGTGCACAGCTGAGGGGGGTGCCCAGGGGAAGGGGGGTGTAGAGGTGAGAGGGGCCGTGTGCACGGCCGAGGGGGGTGCCCAGGGGAAGGGGGGTGTAGAGGTGAGAGGGGCCGTGTGCACGGCCGAGGGGGGTGCCCAGGGGAAGGGGGTGTACAGGTGAGAGGGGCCGTGTGCACGGCCGAGGGGGGTGCCCAGGGGAAGGGGGGTGTAAAGGTGAGAGGGGTTGTGTGCACAGCCGAGAGGGTGCCCAGAGGAAGGGGCGTGTACAAGTGAGAGGGGTGTGTGTGCGGCTGAGGGGGTGCCCAGAGGAAGGGGGTGTAGAGGTGAGAGGGGCCGTGTGCACGGCTGAGGCGGGTGCCAGGCGGAGGGGGTGTAGAATTGAGAGGGGCCGCGTGCACGGCCGAGGGGGTGCCCAGGTGAAGGGGGGTGTACAGGTGAGAGGGGCTGCGTGCACAGCCGAGGGGGTTGCACAAAGGAAGGAGGGTGCAGTGGGGAGAGGGGTTGCGTGCACGGCTGAGGGGGGTGCCAGGGGAGGGGGCGTGTACAAGTGAGAGGGCTGCGTGCACGGCCGAGGGGGTGCCCAGAGGAAGGGGCGTGTACAAGTGAGAGGGGCTGTTTGTGCGGCTGAGGGGGTGCCCAGAGGAAGGGGGTGTAGAGGTGAGAGGGGCCGTGTGCACGGCTGAGGCGGGTGCCAGGCGGAGGGGGTGTAGAGTGAGAGGGGCCGCGTGCACGGCGAGGGGGTGCCCAGGTGAAGGGGGTGTACAGGTGAGAGGGGCTGCGTGCACAGCCGAGGGGTTGCACAAAGGAAGGAGGGTGAGTGGGGAGAGGGGTTGCGGAGGCTGAGGGGGGTGCCAGGGGGGGGGGCGTGTACAAGTGAGAGGGGCTGCGTGCACAGCCGAGAGGGGTGCCCAGAGGAAGGGGCGTGTACAAGTGAGAGGGGCTGTTTGTGCGGCTGAGGGGGTGCCCAGAGGAAGGGGGTGTAGAGGTGAGAGGGGCCGTGTGCACGGCTGAGGCGGGTGCCAGGCGGAGGGGGTGTAGAATTGAGAGGGGCGTGACGGGAGGGGGTGCCAGGTGAAGGGGGTGTACAGGTGAGAGGGGCTGCGTGCACAGCCGAGGGGTTGCACAAAGGAAGGAGGGTGCAGTGGGGAGAGGGGTTGCGTGCACGGCTGAGGGGGGTGCCAGGGGGGAGGGGGCGTGTACAAGTGAGAGGGGCTGCGTGCACGGCCGAGGGGGTGCCCAGAGGAAGGGCGTGTACAAGTGAGAGGGGTGTTTGTGCGGTGAGGGGGTGCCCAGAGGAAGGGGGTGTAGAGGTGAGAGGGGCCGTGTGCACGGCTGAGGCGGGTGCCAGGCGGAGGGGGTGTAGAATTGAGAGGGGCCGCGTGCACGGCCGAGGGGGTGCCCAGGTGAAGGGGGGTGTACAGGTGAGAGGGGCTGCGTGCACAGCCGAGGGGGTTGCACAAAGGAAGGAGGGTGCAGTGGGGAGAGGGGTTGCGTGCACGGCTGAGGGGGGTGCCAGGGGGGGGGGCGTGTACAAGTGAGAGGGGCTGCGTGCACAGCCGAGAGGGGTGCCCAGAGGAAGGGGCGTGTACAAGTGAGAGGGGCTGTTTGTGCGGCTGAGGGGGTGCCCAGAGGAAGGGGTGTAGAGGTGAGAGGGGCCGTGTGCACGGCTGAGGCGGGTGCCAGGCGGAGGGGGGTGTAGAATTGAGAGGGGGCGTGCAGGGAGGGGGTGCCAGGTGAAGGGGGTGTACAGGTGAGAGGGGCTGCGTGCACAGCCGGGGGGTTGCACAAAGGAAGGAGGGTGCAGTGGAGAGAGGGGTTGCGTGCACGGCTGAGGGGGGCCAGGGGGAGGGGGCGTGTACAAGTGAGAGGGGCTGCGTGACGGCCGAGGGGGTGCCAGGGGAAGGGGGTGTAGAGGTGAGAGGGGCCGTGTGCACGGGAGAGGGGTGCCCAGGGGAAGGGGGGTGTACAGGTGAGAGGGGCTGGTGCACAGCCGAGGGGGTTGCAAAGGAAGGAGGGTGCAGTGGGGAGAGGGGTTGCGTGCAGGCCGAGGGGGTGCCAGGTGGAGGGGGGCGTAGAATTGAGAGGGGCCGCGTGCACGGCTGAGGCGGGTGCCAGGGGGAGGGGGCGTAGGTGAGAGGGGCCGCGTGCACGGCGAGGGGGTGCAGGGGAAGGGGGTGTAGAGGTGAGAGGGGCCGTGTGCACGGCCGAGAGGGGTGCCCAGGGGAAGGGGGGTGTACAGGTGAGAGGGGCTGCGTGCACAGCCGAGGGGGTTGCACAAAGGAAGGAGGGTGCAGTGGGGAGAGGGGTTGCGTGCAGGAGGGGGTGAGGTGAAGGGGGTGTAAAGGAGAGGGGTGCAGGAGGGGGTGCAGGTGAAGGGGGGTGTAAAGGAGAGGGGCCGCGTGCACGGCTGAGGCGGGTGCCAGGGGGAGGGGGGCGTAGAATTGAGAGGGGCCGCGTGCACGGCCGAGGGGGGTGGAAGGGTGTCGCGCGCGCCGCACTGACTGGCCGGTTGGGGGCCCGGGGAAAGGGTTGGGTGTCGCTCGCGGAGCGGTACCTACCCGCTCGGCGCAGGTGACTCCTGCAATCCCCCCTCCCACCACCACAAACCGGCCCCGCACGGGGACGGGAGCCGCCATCTCGACGCCTGGATCTAACAATAACAGTAGGAGGGGGAAGCTCTAGGTACAGTACGCGGCGGAGCTCAAACTTTGTCCCTTCGCGTTTACGGTGCCGCCCGCCCACGTGACGTTGACGGCAGTTTGGAGGCGGAGCCCGCTGCGGGGGGCAGGGTCAGGCGTGAGCGAGGGCCCGGGTTCGAGGCTGGAGTCTGCTGAATCCTGCCCCGGAACGGCGTCAGGGGCAACGCTCCCCCGTTGTTTGCAGCGCGGGCAGGGTCACAGTAGTTTCAACCCCGGGAGTTAAAAAATGCCCATGAGTCACCCCACTCCCAAAATAATCCTGAGAGGTAAAAAACCCCCAGTCACCCCATGTATCTAATGTGGGGCTTTTGCCTTCTGGTTTTCAACCCATTGAAGCTCCGGTGTCCACCTCCACAGCCTTGAGCACCAGAAAGAAAGAAAAGCGGAGGGAGAGACGTATGCACCCACAGGACCCCAGGGGTATTCAAGAAAGAAAAGTGGGGCTGCTCAGGAAAATATCAACTGTCATAAGACTAGTGATCAAACCACAAGAAACAGCAACCCCGCACCACTCCGGCTGGGTTGCCTGTAACACGCCTGACAAAGTAGCAGGCCCCTCTTGTATCTCCAGATTGAGTGAAAATGTTGATGTGATACAAAAGCACTGCTTAAAAAGCGTCACTGCTGCCCCATACTGGGGAAAACCAGGCCTCTGTTATTGACATTTTTGGTCTCTACAGGAAACTAACTGATACCCTCCTAATTGTGTTTATCAACTTGATACTACTGGATAGGCTTGACAAAGCCCTGGCTGGGATGATTTAGTTGGGGATTGGTCCTGATTTGAGCAGGGGGTTGGACTAGATGACCTCCTGAGGTCCCTTCCAACCCTGATATTCTATGACTCAGCTTCCTAGTCAGTCAGCAAAATCCAGCCAAGCTATATATATACCAATTGTGCTATGTGTAGAAGAGATACTGAATTAATCATGTTTGCCCCATTTTTTCAAGAGAGCCTTAAAAGGCCCTGTAATAAATAAGGCTGAAGTTGATTACATCTTAATAGCTCATCAAAAAATTAATCATCTGATCTGGGCCCAGCCCAGGAATAAGGCTGCTGCAGTATGCCTGAGGGCTGAGGCCAGTATGTCTATAGGCTCTGCTGGAGGGATAAATCAGAGCACCTGAGTGAGCAACCTTGGTCTGACTGTGGGTTTGCCTCACCTAGTGCTACTAAATATACAATTTAGTTCTTTATGTACTTCTAAGAAGAAATGGCCATAAATAGCCAGAGAGTGATCTTGTGTTTTCAAGAGAACATATTTTGTCTTTATCTACATTAGGCAAGCACCTTCCAAATGGTAATAGACGAGGTCTTTGTTCTAAGGAAACTCTTGTTTGATTATTTAAAACTGGAGGAAGACATTCTGTTTACATCCCTCTCAGGCCTGGATTCCACTGCATACATCCGATGAAGTGAGTTTTAGCCCACAAAAGCTTATGCCCAAATAAATTTGTTAGTCTCTAAAGGTACCACAAATACTCCTCGGTTTTTTTACTTAAAAATTAGATACAGTGCTCAGGGCTGTGAAAAATTTTGTGCTCTGAGCATGATTCATAGGTCAACTTAACCCCCACTTTCGATGCAGATAGGTTGATAGAAGAATAATTTCATCAATCTAGCTACTGCTTCTCAGAAGGGGGGATTAACTACATTGACAAAAAAAACCTCTTCCATCGATATAGGAAGTGTCTGCCCTACAGTGGCGAATATGCAGCACATTAGCTGGGCTGCTGTAGTGCTTGTAGTGTAGATATGCAGTGGGGTTTGTCTTCACTAGAAAATTAGCTTGTGTTGGACCATGACTTTGAAATGTCATGTTAATGAACATGACATTAAATATGACTTTGTATTCAATGTAGATGGGGCAAGACATGACACTATGCCAGCTGCTCATGACTTGTCCTACTGGAACCAGAGGTTTAATTACAAACAGCTGATAGGATACAGTTTGTCCCTGTCTACACTGACAGCAAGTTTTGTTTAACATCACGTTAGTTGCTGTGACTCTTTAAGATTTGTCATGTTCTAACACCAGCCCTTCCTTAGGATCTGTCTAGACTAGGAAAAATGGTGTTGGTTTGTTTTTTTAAAAATCAAGTTAGCTAATACAAGTTAACTAATATTATTTGACACTCCACTTAGCACCTACTGTAAATACAGTTTAACACCTTTAAAATCATGTTAGCTGTTGTACCCATCTGAAATTACATGTCATGCAAGTGGTTCCACATAGGTATAAGTGTCTGTTCACTGCATCACACTGCAGGATTGGAATTTACATTTGTAAAGTGCTTTGGGATCTTAGCAGATACAATGTACTATATAAATGTTTGATATAAAATACTTATTACTACTCTTTAGTGATTAGACCAGCTGGCTCTGACAGTTACTGGGTCTTTCCTAGACTAGAATAAAAAGTATATTATTAGAACGTGAATGTGTTTTAACGTGTTTGAAAAGTCTAGTATAGACAAGGCACATTAACTTTAACATGTGATTAAATGGTTGAATTAAAGCCTGGAGGGAAGCCTTATTTTTAATTCGACCAGCTCAACATGTATTGAAATATGCACGGCCTTGTCTACACTAGACTTTTCAAATGTTAGTTCATGCATAGGCAACGACTCGGTGGGTGCTCCAGGGCTGAAGCACCCCTGGGGAAAAAATGGTGTGTGCTGAGCACCCACTGGCAGCCATCTCCCCTCTCCCAGCACCTCCCAGCCACCGGCACCCCTCCAAACAGCGCCTCCCCCTCCCTCCCAGCGCCTCCCACCTGCCAAGGATCAGCTGTTCCACGGCATGCAGGAGGCACTGGGGAGTCAGGGGGAGCAGCAAGGACCGGTCACCCTCGGGGGAGGGGGCAGAACGAGGACGGGAAGAGGGGGGGCGGGGTGGGGGCATAGGGGAAGGGTTGGAATGGGGGCGGGGCCTTGAGCAGATCTGGCGGAGTTGAGCACCCCCCCGGCACATTAGAAAGTCAGCACCTCTGAGTTCATTTAATAACTAACATGTTCTAGCATCTACCTTTAAATGCTAGTCTATACTAGGCTCCTTCCCAAACAGATTTCCTGTGAGTAGGGTGACCAGACAGCAAGTGTGAAAAATCGGGACGGGGGTAGAGGGTAATAGGAGCCGATATAAGAAAAAGACCCAAAAATTGGGACTGTCCCTATAAAATCGGGACATCTGGTCACCCTACCTGTGAGAGATACCAGTGACATGCATTTCATCACCCAGATACTGAAACTATCTAGCGACTGATGCATTTTCAGACGTCAGGAAATTAGTCTTGGTCTTGGAAGCAGTGACTACCTGCTGATTGTTAGTAATAAATATTTTTTTGTTTTGACTTTGTCGTTTTTAAGAAGTAACATTTTTTTCCAGTGCTGTAGGTAATTTCGCAATCCAGACAATTGCTGGCCATTTTGGTCATAAACTAAATGCTGTCTTCCATACACAGTCTGTCCTACAGTAATTACCTGAATAAATGACCTAACCTAAATAATGCAATAAATTGGATAGGCTTGTGTCATCAGATATAAATACACTTCCCACATTTTTATCACTGGCATATGACAGCAAGATGAAAAGAAATTTTCTTTTCTCTTGGTGTATTTGCTCATGCATGTTAACTGTTTCATTACTGTCACCATTTACAAAATTGGTTGAATAAAGACTTTACTAAACTATCTGGACCAAAATCAGACCTGGTGAAAATGGGTTCAACACCATGGGCATCAATGGAATTGCACACACTCACACTATAATTGAATCTGGCCCCTAATCGACAGCAACCATGAAAGATTAATGTAGCTCGATGAGCATATTTCCATATTAATAATGTTTTTATAAAAGTATTTAAAAACAATTCTTTAAACAATTTCATGAGTTTAGCGTCAGTCTCAGCATTGATTGTAAACAAACAGAAATTCACTGTACCACCCCACCCAGGCACATGGGATGGAGAGGGTGTGGTGCCAGAAGAGTAAACAGCATCCAGTAAAGAGGTGCAGCAGCAGATGAATTCTCCACATGCCCTGGGGAGCTCTGGAAGGCACTCTGCCTTACAGTACTCCCTGGGGTAGTGTGTCAGTGCACCATCTTCAGTGAAGGGCTTTGCCTAATAGTCATGATCTAACCATAAGAGTGAAATGTAATAGCCCTATTCAGAGAGGGCCAAATCCTGGCTCTAGTGAACAGGTTAATTGGGAGGTGAACTGGGAAGATCTACAAGGGAAATGGGAAGAAATCCACCTCAACACACCACAGAGTGGCTGCAAAGCCCCTACAGGTTTTGTGCCCTTAGTTTGCGGGAAGGAATGACTAGCAGATACATATAGACACAGATGATCCACTAGCCCTGCTCCAATTCTGTACCATCTACTAAAACGCCTCTACAGTGAACCTCTGGAGAACACAGCTACATGATACAAGGTAGTCCACATCCCTTGCATGGGGTTCTGCAATCTTGGATCCCTTCCCCATACTTGCTGTAGTGGTAGCAAGGCACTTCATCTGAGTCAGGGCCCTCCATGGCTGAAGAGGAGACAGCAACATTCATCCAGGAATATGAGTAATGCACCACTCATGAATCTATAAAGTAAGGTTCCAGGATTGTCACTCTGTCTGTGGGTCACTCTGAAGCCTAGAATGTCTGTTGAGTCAGTGTGAAGTGATGGACACACCTACAAGCATGGTTGAGAGCTCTTTTTGTCTAGAATATCACCAGGTTCAATCATCATTGTGATTTATGGTCTGTTACGATCCAATTTTTAAGTTCTCAGCCATTTTCAGCTTTTTTACACTTTGCAAATTAGCCCTGTGTAACATCACATGCTTTCAGCTAATAATGAATTAATCTCCAGCTCATGACAATAAAACTGCTATAGCACCATACATTATCATAAATTTCTCTCTCTTCCCTTCCTCAGGCAGGTAGAAAGATTGTTCAGAGAGAAAAAGCAGTGGT